GATGGATTCTGTTGATGTGGAGTTTGGGTGTATCTTCCACCCTCCACACATGTGGATAATAGCCAAGAAGGTGTCCAAATGCCACTCTTGACAGATTTTTTGGAGGCTTCATTGTGTGATGACTCATCCCTAATGGGCACAGCTCAAACAAGTAAAAAAAAAAAAAAAACTTTCTGAGAGCCAGCCTGGGTCTGCCTGATGGTCTTAGCAACAACAGCTGAAACATGATCTGGAGATGACCTGGACCAATGAGAGACAGCCATGTCACACCAACAGATACATATTCATCAGACTGTGGCATGGAGGGTATATAAGGCTTGCCTCTTCCTGAATAAACTGAGCTTGTTGTTTCGACAGGAGTCTGTGTGGTTTGACTCTGCGCCTACTTGGCCCCCACCCCCAAAAGGGAACAGCAACAAGGACCCTGCTACATCTGGTGCCAAAACCCGGAAAATTTGGTACTTGAACAGGGTCTGTTTGTCTCCCTTTACTCATGTGCGGTGCTGGTTGAGAAGCCCCCTTGAGCAGTATATTTTGGTGAGTAGGCCCCTCTACATTGTGTAAATTCGGTCCCTTCAGCAGGTAAATACTGGGACCCCCACTTTCTTCTTTCTGTTTGTCTTGTTTGTGAGTCTGTCTGTACAGCAGGGTGGCACATACTTTTGTTCAGGCTCACCTGGTGTTTCCTTATAAGGGCTGGTCCCTCAGGAAGCAACAGCCACCATCTGACTATTTTTAGTTGTATATGTGTATGTATATGTATATATATATATATATATATATATATATATATATGTATATATGTATATGTGTGTTTGTGAATGCATGCGTGTGCTTGTGGGTTGTGATGTGGGAACCTGATCTTTGGATAAGAGTTCTGTTCCTGGCCAAAAAAAGGGAAGTAGCCTCAGGAGTAACCCTCCAATTGTTTGTTATGCCCATTTTGTTGACTATAATTGCTGGCCTAAAGTCATCCTCTACTGAGGCCCACAATAAGCACTGCCAGAAACAATGTAACACTAACTTATCTATTGCCTTCATTCCATCCATGACTGTTATTTCCTCTGCCTCTACTGGCAACGAGAGGCAAAAGAATAGGCGTAAAGTGAAGGAAAGGGATGGAAAGAGAGAGGAAATGATTGCAGCAGCATCTAAGCCTATACCGGCAGCCCCTCTCACTGTTCCCCCCATGCCTCGAATGGCTACCCCACCACTACAGTATCCATGGAGTGATTTGCCTGGATGTCTGCCTGCTGAGATAGCTGCTCCGCATACCTCCCAGCCTGTTCTACCTATGGTGCCACACATGCCCACCATGGCGTTTCCAGTTAATGTGGGCCCCAATGCGGCTAACCAGCTATGGATAACTACCCCTCTTGCAGACCTGTCTTTGGACCATAAGGCTGCTAATGAATCAGGTCCTGACTCATCATATTTTGAGCAAGTCCTACGACAATGGGCAATGCATTTACAGACTTATTATGACTGGCACCATTTGATGAAAGCTGTGTTGGAGCCTATGGTCTTCCTTAATTGGCGAGCTGCCTATGATGACCAGGCTGAGGCTCAGGCTCATTTTAATATACAGATCAACATTGGTATTTCTCTTGAGATGCTCACGGGCCAAGGACCATATACTGACCCTGTCATACAAGCCCAATGGCAATACTCTGTTCCCTATTAACCCAGGGGGTGAGGATATGCTTACATTTTTCCCCAGAATACCACCACACTGATATGGATACCCTCCAAAGATGTGCGTCCAGCAACAGACCAAGAGACTTTGGACAAAGAAGAAGCTTCAGAAGGGTAATGTATTATTTGCTCTGCTACTGTGGTATTAGTAAAGGTCATGTCATCACTGCCATGTGACCCTAGATATTAAGCAATTGCCTTACCCCCTACAAGGTTGATTATACATCACCAGAAAGACTTCGATTGGCACAATAAAAATGACTGGGGTCCCATCCATGTCCTTGACATTAAAATTTTTGACTAATCCTTCTCTTGTTTAAATATCTTCTGCAACAGGTTAACCAACAGAAGGCGGCCACAAAGGCGACCCTACAGGTTTTATTGGCTCTCAGATACCTAGATCAAAGTCCTCCTAGAGAGATAATACACACATACGGCTCACTGAGATACAGAAGGCTACTGCCTAAAGTCCACCACCCAGACAGCTCTCCAGGATTGATGCTCTTCCAGGGCTGGTAGTCAATGACGGATACGAGCTTATTTGGCAAGCCAGTCTAAGACAGGCACAGTCCATTATGCTGAGCTTTCCTGAGGTGGGGTCAACAGGGTTAGGGCAATGCACCCTAGCTCCCACTGAGCATGTCCTATAAAATAATAAAAAGGAGTGGATATGTGGGATGACTCATCCCTAACGGGCTTGAGAGCCAGACGGCTCAAACAAGTAAAAAAAAAATATTTTCTGAGAGCCAGCCTGGATCTGCCTGATGGTCTTAGCAACAACAGTTAAAACATGATCTGGAGATAGCTGTGGGATGGTCTGTATGGCAAATGTGTTGCTAATTAGTCAATAAATAAAACACTGATTGGCCATTGGCTAGGCAGGAAGTATAGGCAGGACAAGGAGGAGAATAAAGCTGGGAAGTGGAAGGCTGAGTCAGAGAGACACTGCCAGTCGCCACGATGAGAAACAGCATGTGAAGATGCCGGTAAGCCACGAGCCACATGGCAAGGTATAGATTTATAGAAATGGATTAATTTAAGCTGTAAGAACAATTAGCAAGAAGCCTACCACGGCCATACAGTTTGTAACCAATATAAGTCTCTGTGTTTACTTGGTTGGGTCTGAGCGGCTGTGGGGACTGGTGGGTGAGAGAGATTTGTCCTGACTGTAGGCCAGGCAGGAAAACTCCAGCTACAGGAGATGACCTGGACCAATGAGAGACAGCCATGTCACACCAACAGATACATATTCATCAGACCTCCCCACAGGGTGGCGTGGAGGGTATATAAGGCTTGCCTCTTTCTGAATAAACTGAGCTTGTTGTTTCAACAGGAATCTGTGTGGTTTGACCCTGCGCCTACTTGGCCCCCACCCCCAAAAGGGAACAACAACAAGGACCCTGCTACACTTCATCACATGTGTTATGATCACGGTTATCTCAGTCTTTGAATCTATTATCCTTCCTGGTATGGAGAGTTTAGTATTCCAGGCTTCTAAACATGTTTTGCTCTTTCTAATGACCAGCCCTCTTCCTTAGGCTGTCCAGGAGTTCATCAAGAGTGTCTTCATTAGACTAGAAGATACAACTGCCATCTAGGAAATCCCAATGGGTTCAGCAGTTCTGTGTAGGAAGCTTCCATTAGCCTTCCTACCCAGGGAATTGCCAGGGTTTTAGTAGCTCTGTGTCAGAGAGCAAGGACAGGGACCAAGTGCATATTTCTTATTCTGTTGCAAAATCATAAATGTTTTGTCACAATTTCATATTTTATACCAACTTTAAATAAAAGGGTTGGGAATAGTTGATCAGTTTAATCCTTTCTTATGACCCCATATTTTGTGTACCAGATAAGTGATGCTGGGGTTGGAGGTCATGAGTCAGTACTAAGCTGGCTGTAAAATACAAGGCATACTCCTACCTTACTCCAGGTCTGAGAGGTGTTATATTTTTCCCCTGGCAAAGTTTGATTGTTGTTTTGGGGACAAATATATCAACTTCAGGAAGCAACAGATGTTTTCTCAGTCCATTTAGCAATTATGAATACCTTGTGGCACCTCTGAAGGAAAAGTTACCTTGTGGCTCTTCTCCAGTAACATTTAAGACAATGAACTTCATTGAGATAGTTGGAAAAAAATAAACACAGGTCACACTCCAATACCTTCAAGAGGGCAGAAGAGCTGGGCTGTGAAGCAGAGGCAGTTGGTAAGTGATGTGGAAACTTACCAAAACATCCAGCACCTGCTCTCTGAAGAACATGTGGTTAGAGTTTCTAGGTCCTTGATAACAATGGAAGAAAAGAAACCTTGGAGATAGAACCACCTAATGTATCAATGATCACATTGTCTTACAATCTCATTCATAACACTTTTGAAGCTCTATTGGGATAGAATGGGAATACTATTGAGAAAACTGGACATCCACATGCAAAAGGATGAAATCAAATCCTTAGCTACCAGCATTTAGCAAAATACCTGTCATAAATAACTACTGGAAGACAGGATTAGCTGTGCTCACAGTTCTGAGCATTTCAACCCATGACTACTTGAAGGCAAACATCATGGTAGAGAGATAGTGCTGAAATGAAGTTGCTTACCTCCAGGCAGCTTGGACAGGAAGGGCCAGGTCCCAACATGCCATTGAAAGGTATGTTTCCAGTGACAAATTACCTCTCTAGGGCCACTTTCTAAAGTTCCTACCACTTCTCAACTGTGTCATCAGCTGTTCAACATGTGAGCCTGTGGGGACATTCCGTATCCAAGCTGCAACATATCACATCTAATAATCAACTCAAAATGTGTTGAAGTCCTAAATGTAAGCTCTGAAACCATGGGAAACAGGAGAAAAAAAGGCTTGTTGATTTTGGCTTCTGCAATGATTTTTTTTTTATTACCACACCAGAATCTCAGGCAACAAGAATAAAAATAAACATGTGGGAGTATATTAAATTAAAAACTTATGCACAGCTAAGGAAACAATCAACAAAGTGAAAACACAAGCAATGAGTTTAGAAAAAATATCTGTATTCCATCATATCTCATAAAATAATAAGACATTTATACAATGTGAAGTGAAAATATACGATTGGTCTTGGAGACTCATGACTGTCATCACAACACTCAGAAGGCTGAGACAGGAGGATTGTCATGAGTTCAAGGCCAGCCTGAGTTACATAGTGAATTCTGGGCTATCTTTGGGCTGAAGAGTGAGAGATCCTATCTCTGAAACCAAATACCAAAAAAAAAAAAAAGTCAAAACACAAATAAACTAGTAAAAACAAATGAACAAAAAAAATTCAAATAACCAAGGTCATTAGATGTGTGAAAAGGTATATGGATGTAGGTAAATATAAATTATATGACACACATACTATATATGTAAGTTGATGGTGAGTCTGCTTATTAGTATAATTTCATTCAACCAAAAATGTCCAGAAATAAAAACGGTATTATATTAGTTACTTTTTTATTGCTTTGACAAAACGCCTGGCAAAGGTAACTTACAGAAAGAAGGGTTTATTTGACTCAAAGTTTAAAGGGATACCGTGCATCATGATAGGAAGCAGAAGCCTGGGTAACTGGTCACATTGTGTCCACAGTCAAGAAGGAGAGAGAGAGAGAGAGAGATGAATGCACATTCTCAGCTTCCTTTCTCCCTTCCTTTTTTATTCAGTCCAAGACACCAGTCCATAAGATGTTGGTACCCATGTTAAGGGCAAGTCTTCTCTCTTCAGTTCAACCTCTCTAGAAACAACCGCATAAACATACCTAAAGGTGTGTCTCAGAGGTGATGCTAAATACAGTCAAGTTGACAATGAATATTAACCATCACAGATATAAAAGGGGTTTGTTTTGTTTTTGTTTTTTGGCATTATCACTTTAAAGTAAATAGTTTTCAACACACAGAAGTTTCTCACTGGAGGATGTAGCATAGAACATCCTCAGCAGACCATATCTGAAATTTCCTGGTGAGAGGTAAGAAGGATAACTGTCTTCTATAACTTTTCAGCCAATTATATAGTTTCACCATTTTCTTGTGTTTTCAAATACTAATTTTTCCTTTATTTTGTCTTTAAGGAATTTTTATGTATCATATTTTAATTACAATTTGAATGATGATCATTGTTCCCCAGAAATAAAAAAAAGTAGTAAAGAAAATCATTCAAAAGAAGAATTCCTATTCCAAAAAAACAGCTCTCTCCTGCTCATTTTCCACCAATGATCAGCTACTCTCTTTGTTTCCAATCACTAAAACAAAATACCCAAGGCAGAATACTTAGTAATGAAAAAGGAGTCCTTTGGCCCACAGTTCTGGAGGTTCAAATGCATGGTACCAGCATCTGCTTCATTTTAATGGTGATTTCAAGGTGGATAGCATCACATCACATGGGAGTTGTGAGAGGAAGAGATCATATAGCAGGACAGAAAGCCAGAGCCAGACTGAGGGTCTGACCATTTATACATTCTGAGGGAAGCTCCCGAATGACTAAGGATATTCTACTGGTCCTATTTCTTATATTTTTGGTTGTGAGCCTAGCCTTTAACGGCTGAGCCATCTCTCCAGCCCTGGTCCTATTTCTTAAAGGTCCCACCACCTCTCAACATTGTCACACTGACAATCAAGGTTTTGACACATGGACATTTGAAGACAAACAACAGCACCTCTTATCACCATCTAACATCAATGCATGTTTCAAAGGGGATGAATTTTTGCAACATTATATTGTATGTGCAAACTGTGCCTATTTCCTATGCAGCATGTATTAATTATATAAGCTTGTTTGCATTGTTTGGTTAAAGTAGGTCAGCAAAGCATAGCTACATGCTGAAAGACCACAGACACTCATGTTCCAAGCCTCTCACAAAATTCTCTAATTAAAATTAATGTTTCAGGTACACCACCTTAGGGATAACAGGGGAGCATTACTCCAGGTGGCCTCTGCTCTGTCACGTTCCCCTACCCCTTCCCTTTCAACTGACAGTGTTTATGAATGAAAGAAAATTTAATATTAATGTCATGAACCAATTACTATTACATGTGGAAATTGAGATTTTAGAAAGAAATTACATTGTCAAATTAGAGGGTTTTTTTCTCAGTTATCCATTTGCTCATTCCCTTCCAATAAAGTGGTTGATTCATTCCAAGCAGACTACAAATTATTGTTTCTGGATATTCAGATTGAAGACATTCATCACCAGCATTCTTCAAGTACTATCAAATCTAGATTAGAGAAGGAGACAATGAATGAATAATTCATACACACATACACACACACACACACACACACACACACACACACACACACACACACACTGCAGTATCTAATTGTACACAATCCAGCCTGAACAATCACAAATAGCAAGAGTGGAGCCTCAACTTAGGTTCACTCTACATCAATTTTTCCCACTGGCAGTTTTCAGTGCCCTTTCCTCTGAAACCAGGCAGGTTTTAACCTTTAAAGCCCACCACAGAAATTGGCTAATTACCATTTTGTAATATTTTTTCATCTGCACCATCCCAGGAGTACAGCCTAGAGCAGTGGTTTTTATCCTTCCTAATTGTGCGACCCTTTAATATAATTCTTCATGTTGTGGTGATCCCCAGTCATAAAAATTATTTTCATTGATACTTCTTAACTGTAATTTTGCTACTGTTATGAATTGTAATGTAAATATCTGATATGCAGGGTATCTGATATGCAACCCTTGTGAAAAGGTCATTAGACCCCCCAAAGGAGTCCTAACCCAAAAGTTAAGAGCCTCTAGCCTAGAGGGTAACATGGCTGTAGTTTCCATGTCTTAACTCCATAAAGTTGATTAATTCATGTATCATTAGCGTGAATGAAAAGCCTCCATCTAACAGTAGAAAGCACATGTGTATTCTGGTTACTTTGGACTGTTAACTTGACACAACCTACTCACTTGAGAAGAGAGCCTCAGTAGAGGAATTATCTAGATCAGTATGTCTGTAGAGAATTAACATAACTGTTAATTGAAGTGAGAAGACCCAGTCCATTGTGGGCAGCACCATTCCCTAGGCAGGGGAACCCTGGCTATATAAAGAGTGAGAAAAAAAAAAGCTAGCTGAATGAAGGAAGGATGTATTTGTTCTCTTTGCACTACACTGTGGATGCAATGTGACTAGATGTTTCAGTTCCTGCCTTGATTTCCCCTTAGTGATAGACTGTAACCTAAAATTTTAGGCCAAACAAACCCTTTCTTCTCCTATATTAATTTTTTCCTCAGGACATTTTATTATAGAAACATAAAATGTTCATAAAAATTATATGAAGCTAGGACAACATGCTACCTGTTTTGGTATTAGGATATCTGTCATAAATATACAGAGCATTCATACTGATGATTAAAAAAATTGTTGGAAGCACGTGATACCTGTGATGACCTTCATGAACAAGGGCTGCTCCAGCAATTTTGAGTAGATGAACAACACTCACAACTGTAGACTTTAAATTCAAGGAGGAAGGCAGGTGAAAAGAAATCAATTTATGATGTAAAAAGAGATATGACTTGAGAGGACTAAAATGCCACGAAGGAGGCACCTAATTGAATTCATTCTTGCATAGTGCAAGATGAATGTGAGAGGGCTGCAGTGTGGATGTCTGTTGAACTGAACTCAGTGATTTCCCTCAATTATTAGACCCTCATCATTGATTGTGAGAGGAGACTTACGAGCCATTCTTGACTCTTGATATTAATAACCATGTATGTGTCTCGTTATCTTTTAGATACATGCATGTAAAAAGGAGAGTTGTAGCATCTTTAATACACAGGCACAGAACTCTTTGCTGTAAAAGAAGTCCTTCATGCAATGATGCAGAAAACATCATCATTCATCATTGGGCTGATGAATATGTAGAGAGGACCTACTATTTTGAAGGCATTGTGGTGTGTACAGTTCCTGTTTTCACAAGTCTTCAATGTAAGAGAGTGTATACATGAAAGCTGGTGAGCAGGAAACAGGAAAATATAGAGAGACAATAAGAGGAGAAGAAGGGAAGGAGAGGAGGAGGAGATAAAAGTATGTATATAAATCATCAAAGAAGAGATCTTTTCCCATAAAGGAGGATGCAGATGAGAATGTCAGTGCAAAATAGGCATGCAGTCTTGATGTATTTGCTTTTAGGAGAAAACAAGGAAGGAGCTCATGCCAGTAGGGAAGTGCCTAAAATCCAACTTGGGAAAATAACTGTGACAGGTCATATCACACAGTGTCTCTTCCAGAAAGGCCTGCCTGCCCACATCCCACACCTCTTGCAGTCTGGGGAAACTTCCTTTCTGGTGTTCACTTGGCCTAATTACTAGCTCCATACTTGTATTTACCATATAGAATAGAATTACCCTGTCTATTGTATGTATGTGACTATGATTAAGCTCTAAAGTATTAAGACTGGCCACGTGCCTTGGTTTTATGACCTTGAGACTCATGGTAGAGACTTATTTCATGACTGTTCAGATGAACTGAGCACTGTACTTGGTACAGAGCACAGTTCCCAGTAGAGTTTTGGTAGGTTAAGTGAGTCCACAAATCAAGAGGTAAAAGTTACAGAAATCATCTTTCCAAGGTTATCACTGTAAATGTGAAAAGAATTGCCCAGAGAAGTTGTTATGAGTACAGACCCCCAGGAACTTGGATTAAGAAGGCCTAGAATTGGGGCAGAAGATAGCTCCTCCATGACTTTAGAGCATAGAGACCCTACCCTCACCCCCACTCTGAAGAATTCTGCCTTTTCCATAGAATTGCTATACACAATGGTCATTTATCTTTCCAATTAATTGTAAATTTAATTTTTAATAAGAATGATTTGTGTATGTCTCACTGCCTAACAAATCTTAACAATGCTATCACTACTAAACTTTGGGTTTAAAAATAGCTCTTTGGGTAAAGAATTGTTCTTGTTTGTTTGTTCATTGTGGTGCCTGAGATCAAGGCAGACCTTGTGCATTCCTAAGCAAGCAGCTCTATATAGCTGGACTATACTCCAAGCCACCTTCTTACTACCTTTTATTTTGGTGGCTCTGATGCTCAAATCTAGGGTCTTGAGCATTGCTAAGAAGTGCTGGGACCACTTCTGTTAGCCTAGCACTCACTGGTGTCAGCTTGGTACACAAAACTGAGCCACTATGGAGCATCACAAGATGAAAAGTGAAAAGAATATAAGAGGTAGAGGTAGGGATCAGCACTGAGAATCTGGGTCTTATAGACATGACACACCCCAGTTGATGTTCTTGTGAACTCACCACAGTTGTGGTTGCCTACCCAAGATCTGTTTGAGACTGAGATCATCAACATTCCATCATGGGAGGGAGAAAGGCTCATGAGGCCACACCCTTCCCAAAGGGACTATTGACAATGAATGATGGTTAGGGAAGAGGTGTTGCTTTCTTCAGTGGTATAGCCACTGATAAGTTGTTCACACTCCAATAAATAACCTCCCATCTATGCTCATTTAAACTCAGTGGGTCACAGATACAAAAAGATAAGAAAATAGGAGAGGTACTTGGTAAGAAGGAAGGGTTCAGCAGGAGAAGAAGAGGAGCTGAAATAGGGTAACAGTGGGGAAAAGTGACTAAAATCATTATATATATATTATATAAATTATATATATATAATATATATATATATATATATATTCACATGTGAATGAATGAAACTGTCAAAAATAAAGATCAATTCAAAATACTTGATCCTCCCTAAAACATTGTAGGTAGGGCTGGATAAGGTAAGCCTGTGAACTTTCACTTAGATCTAAAATGATCTCGAACTTAGGTAGGAGGTAAATAATTGTCTTAGAAAAATTTCAAACAAATATAACTAACAAGAGTTAAAGAACAGGGATTTGAGAGATGACCCAAACACCCAATTATCTCACTATTAGACTGAAAAAAATCTTAGATGTATCAATAACTGTCCTCAGAAACCTGAATGGCTGGGAATTATGGGAAATGTCACTCCAAGTGTCAGTAAATTCACCATATTGCTCAGAGTTGTAAACAAACTCAATCTCCACTCACCCTACTGTGATTTCAGAATCAGGACTAAGATTTCATAAACTAGGATGCAGAGAGTCAAGTGCAGTGGCCAATAAACTGATTTGACTTGCAGACCCTGCTCTATTTTTAAGCCATGGTAGCTGGTTTCAACAACCAGTGAAGGTCTACAACACAGCCTGTCTTGCAATGAGATGGCACTGAGAAGCCTGATTTAAATTCTGTGAGCATCTCCCAGACCCTGGAAGCCCTCTGAAATTCTCATTAGGAGAGTTAGAGAGGACAGAGAGATTGTAGTCTGTAACAGATCATTCTACGGGCACTTTGCCAGGCATTTGGGAATCTGTACCACAAAGACATCTTAATATGAGATGTTTAGAAAGTGCAGTGCTATGAATCTATAATGACATGTTTAAAAAATTGAAAGGACACTGATTTTCCTATTATTTCCAATGTCTTGGGGACCCTAAGATATAACTATTTATTTTGAGAATAAAGTATAATTCTATGACTACTACTAGGTTTTATTAGTGAAAGAACATATTCTTCATATGCTGATGGGGACTGTTCCCCTATGTGGCCCTCACCATCTCTCACTCAGTACAAACCTTCCGCAAATACCAGATTCTGTCATCCTGGATCAGACAGTGATGACATCAGAGGCAGCACTTACTTAGCACAGGCTGTGGCTTTGAAATAGCTGGCAAGGCCGAGAAACAGTGACTTCACAACACCTTGGATAGAAAAGAGAAATATATATTTATTTTTATTTAAGTGACCATGATTTGAGGAAATCCATTAATTAGAGCAGCAATCTTGGAAAAGTTACTCACAAGCTACTGTGATCATCAATGTGCAGGTAAAGATGCTGGCTAATTCTCCTACCATAAACCATCTGGAAAAAAAAAAAAACAAGATTGTGTAATTGTATCATATTAACCCTGCATTTCCAACTCTTGCTGTGTTCCTTTAGACCAAGAATAGACTCTGAATGTCAATACTGACTGTATAGATGAAAAATAAAAATAGTATGTTTTAACAAAAGGATAGATAGGGCAACAAAAGAGACCAGAAAACCCTGAACTAGAAACACACGGATACACTAAACAGATTTCTTTTCTTAAAAGATTTATTTTTACTTTTGATTATGCCTATGTCTATGTGTGTAGGAGGGACAGTATATGTATGTGAGTGCAGTGCCCATGGAGGTGGAGGTCAGAGGTATTAGATCACCCTGTAGCTGAATTACAGACTATTATGAGCCACCTGATAGAGGTTCTGGGATCTGAACTTGGGACCTCTGTAAGAGCATTCATTCTTAACTGATGAGCCTTCTCTGTAGCCTTGTAAACTGATTTCTAAGAGAAATGTAAAAGTTAGGCAATGAAAAGATAGTCCGTTCAACAAATGGTCTTGAAGAAAATTGAACATTTGAATGGAAAAGAATGAACCATCAAGCATATCTCTTATCTCACATAACGTTGAAATTAAAATGAGTCAGAGACTGCATTATAAACCATGAAGTATAAAACTTCCCGAAGAAATCATAGATGAAAACTGTATGACCTTGTGTTTGGCAATGAATTGTTAAGTACAGTATGATGAGGTACAGAGCCTATGAAAGAAAAATGAATAATTGAACTTTCTGAAGATTAAAGAACAAAAGTTTTTCTCCAGGAAGAACAGTGTCAAGAGGATGAAAAGACAATGCACAGTCAGTAGAAAATATCTGCAAATCACAAATCTACTAAAGGACTCCTATCTAGGACACATAAGAATAATCAAACCTTAGCAAGAAGGGGGCTGAATAATAACCAAGTATAATGGCGTATATATGAAATACCATAATGAAAGTGATTACTTTGTGTGAAAATTTAAAAATAAACCCCAACAACAAGAAAACAAACAACCTTCAAAAATGAGTGGAAAACGTGAACACACATCACATCTCAGCCAAGAAAATATGCATATGAAAAAAGTATTTAAAGCAACATACAACATCATTTGTCATTAGACAATGCAAGCTAATTTATCAGAATAGCTCTAACTGCAATGCTGACCAATGATTGTGTATTTATCAGAACAGTTAAGCCCCTAAATGGCCATAACAAGTGACAGAGAGGATGCACGGCCATCATTGCTCATGGGAAGGAAAATGGTGAAAATATTTTTGGAATAGTTTGGCACTTTTTTCAAAATTAAAGGGAGATTTATTATATTATCCTACAATTCCATTCATTGGTGCATATCCAACTCAGTTCAAGCCTTCTGTCTTTATATAAATTTTATTAAAAATTGTCAAAATTTGAAGCAAGCAAGAAGTTTTTGACCAGTGATTATATAAACTGACTGTCATACACCTACACAATTGGACACTGTTGAGCAACAAAAAGTGAAAGGTCATAATGGCACATTTATTGTTGCTATAGGAATGCATGTTAGGAAAATTAATGGTTTTATACTTTAATCATTTGCATGAAAAGTCTCATAGAACTGAGCAGCACATAATAAACCTTAATTTTTTGCTAATAAAAGATTCAATATTTCATGGAGAATATTTGCATCTATGTTCAGAAGGGATATTGGTCTACAATTTCTTTTTTGTTAGGTCTTTGTGTGGTTTTGGTATCAGGTTAATAGTGGTTTGTGTGCAAAATTAGGAAACATTCCTTCAGTGTTTATTTTGTAGAATAATTTAAAAAGACTATCAGCATTTGTATTGTTTGAAGGTCTGGCAGAATTTTGCGCTGAATCCATCTGGTACTGGCCTTATTTTGGTTTAGAAATTTTAATTACTTTCACTAAGGGTTATGGGTCTGTTTAAACTGTGTATTTCATCTTGACTTAACTATTGTTGGTCAAATATATCAAGAAATTCATCCAATTTGTTGAGGTTTTCTAGTTTGGTGGAATACAGTTGTTTTGTTTTGTTTTAAATATGTCCTTATGATTCTCTGAATTTCCTCAGTGTCTGTTGTAATGTCTCCCCTTTTCTCTTTAATTTTGTTAATTGGATCTTCTCTCTCAATCTTTTGATTAATTTGGCTAAAGATCAATCTTGGGGATTTTCTCAAAGAACCATTTCCTTTGCTTTATTGATTATTTGTATTTTTGTTATTGTTGTTTCTAATTCATCAAACTCAGCCTTGAGTTTGATTATTTCTCTACTCTTTTAGAATATTACTTCTTCCAGCATTCAGATGTGTCATTAAGTTATTAGTATGAGTACACTACAATTTTTTTTTATATAGGCACTTAGTACTGTGAACTTGCCTCCTAAAACTGCCTTCATTGTGTCACATAGGTTTGGGTGTGTTGTGTTTTCATTTTTGTTCAATTATAAAATCTTCTAAATTTCACTCTTAATATCTGTCTTGACCCAGTTTTCATTCAGTAGTGAGTTGTTCAGCTTCCATGCCTAGGTGTACTTTCTGCTGATTCTATCGTTGTTGACAACCAGCTTTAATCAATGTTGGTAAGATAGAATGCAGGGGGTTATTTCAACTTTTTAAGTGTCATTTGAGACTTGCTTTGTGTACTAATATGTAGACAGATTTGGAGAAAGTTCCATGAGCTGCTGAGAAGGAGATATGTTCTTTAGGGTTTGGGTGGAATATTCTGTTAAGTCAATTTGACTTGTGACATTATTTAACTCAAGTGTTTCTCTGTTTAGTTTTTGTCTGAATGATTTATTTATTGAGGAGAGTTGGGTATTGAAGTCACTGACTATCAGTGTGTTAGAGTTAAAAAAAATCAATCAGGATGTTGGAAACCTTGAGGATAAGATGCTGACAAAAGAAAAATAACTGTATTACAAACGGATGATGTAACTTCACCTGGAGGAAGGCAAAAGGTGCCAACCTAAATAAATTCAGAAAATGGAGCTTCAGCTGGAACTCTCAGACCAGAGATGGAAGGAATTAAGCATAACCATTGTGTTTGCATCAGTAAGGTGGCTTCTCATGGGAGTGTGAGTTATTAATTTATCAACTTCTGCACATATACACCAAGATTTAATCAATTCAGTGCAAAGTAGTGAAAATCACTTTCCTAACTGCCAAAGAAGAAGCCTGTGGATAGTTGAGGTGACAGGGAAACCTGGAATAAGTCACATGGCATTGGGTTAGGGTTAGATTTATTAACATAAACAAACTTGGGTTACTATATGTGTATATATATGCATATATATATATGCATATATATATATAATTTCCACATGTGCATTTCAAGATTATTATATATGTACAAAATATTCCTCATTTCTGTCCACCCATGGCCTAGAAGCAATGACATCCCAATACCAATGAGTACGCTTGGCACTCTGATCTCGAAATGTTCTCTAATAAAAGAATTTTGGGAATTTCAGAGAAATGACTAAAGCTAGGGCAGATACAAGATGAGTCTGAATTATTTGTTATTTGTTTTCTAAAAAAAATAAAGAACAATGAAAATACTCAAGAATGATGATTCATAATGTATTTTGTGGCAGAAGTAATATTTACTGACTGGAAAATTAGGACAAAGGCATGAGAGGAACATAAAGCTAAGGTAACTGAAGGTTTCTGGTTGAGCTGGTCAAGTGAATGTGAGCCCTGCAGGAAAATCTTATTTCTTCAGTTCAAAGAGACACGTACATTCTTTCAAATAAGGAGTCAATTTACAGACGATGGTGACTTACTATCAATGTCAATTACATGGTAATACACTCTCACTTGACTATGTCTTCCTATTGTTATTCATCATTGCTATACAGTCATGATTTCAAGTAAACTGTGTACATTGTTGGCATTATACATGTTGGTTGATTTTAATTACTATTAAATGGCTTTTTCTAAGAAAAGCAAAAGTCAAGTGTGGTAGTACATGCCTGTAATTCTAGCACTTGGAGGATAGAGTCAAGAGGTGTAGTAGTACACAGTCAGTCTCAGCTACATAGAGAATTAAAGAGTAGCCTGGGTTATAGGAAACACACACACACACACACACACACACACACACACACACACACACAGAGAGAGAGAGAGAGAGAGAGAGAGAGAGAGAGAGAGAGAGAGAGAGAGAGAGAGAGAGAGAAAGTCTAAAGTATAAAGGTATATGAAAGGGCCAATCTACAAGATCACAAGAGTTCCTGATTGAAAATGGTAAGTATTGAGCAAGAAAAAAAATTTGAAAAGTGAACAAACCAGAGTGTTGAATTATAATCCCAGAGTGCAAATTAAAATTCTGTGAAGTGGGGAGAGGATAGAGAGAGTTAAGGGATGAGTGCTATCAGAATGTGTTATATACATGTATGAAATTGTCGAAGAATAAATTTGTTAAAGCCCATTTTAAAAAATCCTTGAGTATATGCAGATATAAGGAAATGTTTAGATTTTCCAGTTTTCACCTAATGGCATTTTTCTATTCCAGGAACCACATTACATTTAGTCATCAGGCCTCCTTAGGCTCCTCTGGGATATGACAACATGGTCCTGATGACATTACTGGCTTTGAGGAGGACTTCTAATGCACTGGATGTCCTTCGTTTGGGTTTTTTTCTCATTTTTTTCATGGCTGGACTGGGGTTTGAGACATAGAGGTAAAGTGCCACTCTTACTACATCCTGTCAATGGCACATACAATAATCAGTCTCATCTCATTGATGTTGACCTTGATCACCAGAGGTGGCACCAACCAGCTCTTGCTGCTGTACTTACAGAGACCATTTTTCCTCTTTTTTTTTTTATCTACTCTTTGGAAACCAATTTCTAAACACAGTTCACACAAAAGCGATATGGAGTGAAGCTCTACTTCTCAAGGCTGGATGCATTTACATAGGTTAACCCCTGAGGAATGTCTCACGGACAGCCCTGTCAAATATGAGATGGGGTTTGCTGACCAACTTGGAAGTTTGGAACACACTAAGTTCAAAGAATGCTGACTTAAAAGATGGCTCTGCCTAATTTCTTCTAGCTGTTATTGTACTAATGCACATTATCAGTTTCCAACTTGGGGTATGTAATGAAGAACGTTACTATCTATTTTTAGCCAGAGTGCCTCCTCCTTTTGTTCTTTTGGTCCCATTGTGATCTACAACGTTTCTCAAACCTCATAATTAAGTGGGAGGCTTGTTTTAAAATACCAACTCTCGCTAGGCCTAAATTCATATCTCAAGAGAGCAGATCTAGGAGTTGGTATTATAAAAATCAACCTTCCCAAGCAATATGGAGGCTCTTGACCCTCAGGATGCAGGATTTGAGAACGTGTAGCATTTTCCCACCAGAGTTCAAAGATTGTGAAGCTTTTAGGGCTTCACTGTTGGTTTTCATTTCATCCACTCCATCAAAATATCAATGAACTCTTGTCATTAAGGATATGGAAGTAAGGACAATACTTTGGTGTCCCTTCTGGATTGCTCGTATTCTCTAAGAATTACTTTAAATTTTATCTATTTTGTGTGTGTGTGTGTGTGTGTGTGTGTGTGTGTGTGTGTGTGTGTGTGTGTGAACTCATTTGTATGATTTATGTGTGCATGTTTTTGTGATGTATGTGTGTGACAGGACAAGTTTCAAGAGTTGATTTTCTCTGTCCAATGTGGGTTCTAGGTATTGAACTCAAGACATCAGGCTTGTACTGAAAACACTTTTACTTGTTAAAGCATGCCATTGGCAGATTGCTCACATTCTTATAAGGAGAGATAGATTATTAATATTTGGATAACTGAACATATAGTAATGGGTCAGGAGTAGAAAGTGCTCTTAGTAAAGGAAAGCACCACACTGTCTACAGCACCATACTGTCTACAGCACCATACTGTCTACAGCACCATACTGTCTACAGCACAATGCTGTCTACAGCACCAAATTGTCTATAGTACCATACTGTCTACAGCACCATACTGTCTACAGCACCATGTTGTCTACAGCACCAAATTGTCTATAGTACCATACTGTCCTCAGCACCATACTGTCTGTCTAAAACACCATACTGTCTGTCTAAAACACAATACTCTTTACAGTACCATACTGTCTACAGCACCATACTGTCTACAGCACCATACTGTCTGTCTACAACACCATACTGTCTACAGCACCATACTGTCTGTCTACAATACCATACCGTCTACAGCACAATACTGTCTACACATAATTACAGGAAAAGTCTCTCTAATAGAGAATGTGAAGAGATTTCAGAAAGAAATGAGGTCATATGTTATTAGTTTAAGTGAAATAGATTTGTACTAGGCAGAGGGAACAAAGACTCTGAGGCATGAACAGGCTGAGTGCTGAAGGGACTTGATCATTTTCCTAGAATCTTGGGAAAAGGTCGACCTAGAAGGCATGACAAGAACATGTAGAATGGTGGGGGGTGGGGGACGTTAACATATGTATAGTAAGGACTGAATGCTGTGTATCCTGCAATGCTAACCTGGCTTCTCTAGAACCGACAGTTGTGTGAAAGTTGACAGAGTAAGAGAGAGCCACTTGTATCAACCCCAACAACAAAGTAAATCCAGGACAGTATGGACAAAGGGTCTTTACACATAATTGCCTGACAGAAACTATTCCAAAAGACTGTACCCAGGCCCAAAAGTTTCTACCAGCCCAATATGACCTTACATACAAAGTGCTTCTACAGGGATATCTGCCCAACAACTTCCTTTCAACCTCAATACATCATTCTTATTATCAATCATTGTAGCCAAGGGTTGTTGTTTCAAAACACTTGATATAATTTCCTTTATTTCTCCCTTTATAAATATCACCTTCTCTTAGCCTCTGAATCCACCCATGGCTGCCTGTGTGTTCCCATGCAGCACTCTGCTGGTTCCAAACAAGTATTGGCATCCTTTAGAGAATATCTTTTTGATTCTTCTCTATTTTAGGATACAAACTACAGCAGGAGAAGTGGAGACTCAGTGGGGACTTGTAGTATTCTGGAATGCACTTGAATGCGAACTTAGACTGTGACCATCCTTGCTCTCACTGCTTAAATAGAAGATAGCACATGGTAAAAATCCATTTCTAAGCAAGACATGCTGGCTTCTGTATGTACTTTAGAGGATAGATGGGGTATGTAAAGAATAAAGTGCACAATCATCACAGTTAAATGAACAAGTTTTAGCTATAGAGCTACCTAAAATGGTTTGTGAAAGGAGGGAAGGAACTGATCCATCAATTAGACCTCCCCATTGATTATGAAATGTTATTGCAAGAAAGAAAAACTAGAATTACCTTGCACATGCAGAAACGATTAAGCACACTGCTAGCAGGGTTGCCCGAAAGGAGAACTTGTACATCAGGCTGGCTTCTGCGGGAAGAAGAAGAAATGGATCATAGATTTCTGATTAAATAACCCTGGAGAACAAGTTCCTTCTAAAGCTGCTTCATAGTTTTTCAAATGTGTCAGTTTAAACAATTGATCATCAGTAACAAGAAAAAATCATGCCAAGTGGAGCTGGATTGATGGCTCAGTGGTTAAGAGCATGTCTAGTACCTACATGGTAGGTAGCTCACATCTCTAGTTCCAGGAGATCTGATGGCCTCTTCTGGCCTCCATGGGCTCCTGCACAGACATAGTACATGTAAATTCATACAGACATGTACACATATGTAGATAATCATATGGGTCCATTAATTAGAAAATTACACAGTCAATGGATAAAATTTCCTCTCTTACAGCAAAACAAGAGACTATGCAACTCAAAATGCTTCAGTGTTGCCATTTGCTTAGATATTGTAGAGTTTATGCTAAAGTCAGAACTCTAAAAATGTGATGATGATTATGATTGTGCCAACCACAACAATAATAAAAACGCCTACAATTTACAGAGCGCTTCATTATTCACAAATACTTTTCATACACTAGCTTATTTCATCAGCTCCAAACCATGCAAAGTAGGGAGCATTATTGGATTTTGCAGATGAGTAGACATGATGCAATAGTCCAAGATCATACAGCTACGAGGTGCCAGCGCCAAGATTTAAAAGCCACATCTAGACAGGACATAATGTTTTGTCTGAAATGAGGCATGGAAAGACAATTGGAACTTTGCATACTAGAAATCTCTAAAGACCAAGAAGACAAAAAGAATATGTATTATGAAATATTCCTTTCAAAACTCTGCAATCACAGAACTATTTCAAATTTGTCAATTCATGATGGGAAGAAGTACAAAGCTTCAAGCAGTTATAACCATGAGAATCACGACCTTGAGTCTCAGATTAATCATCTGTAAGAAATCAGAGCTGACTTAAAGATTACCACATAAAGACTTAAAAATAAATCTATGAATAGATTTCAACTTAATTTCCCTCAAATGCTTCAGGAGTTTAATTTTACAACAGTTGTTTAAAACTCAGAAGACTTTTTACTGTGAGTGTTTTTATTTTTGTGATTTATGCTGGATATGGAGGTAGAGTTAGCTATAAATCTCTCTGAGCCCCTAGTGTAGGTGGAATCCTGAAGTCTGGCAATTCAAACAGGAGCAGTAGTAAATTATGTCACTCAAAGTGTGGAGGATTTATGTATATTGTGAATTAAATAAATTATTGTGGGTTCAGTGGAATGTCAACCATCCATCTAAAGTGTGTTTGAATTATCCATCTCTCCAGATTGCATGTGCAATTAGGAAAATAAATTCATCTTGAGACACAGCAAGGATCACTGGCTGTGTACACTGAAGTGGGTGTATCTTTGAATTTGACAAAGAGATGAGTTATGTGACTTTGGACCTGTTACTCACTGCTCCTTCAGTGGCCATTGACTTGGTACCTATTTTGACTTTTCTTATCAGGAATCTGGCCTTGTTTCCTTCAACTTCTCCCAACCTGTAGATTCTCTCTCCTTGTCCTCCCACTTTACCACCTTCTATTTTCTTTAACATTTTTTCACATTTAAGTTTTTTTGTTTCTTTTCCCTATTCCCCACTCGAAAAATATCTGCTCCTATGCACCATCTATTTCCTGGTTTTGAGGGTAATGCCGTATTCTTAGTGGGAATTACTTTTTCTGATAGAAGGTAGAGCAGCTGGTTTCTTTTATTTTTCATCCCAGCATCTGACCCATTCAATGCCTTTTGGAACCTCACATACTTATCAGCAAAGTGACTGCTTTTGCCATGAAAATGGAATCCTCCCAGAACTGATGTAACAACTCTAGGTCTCATATCATAACTCTAAATGAGCAAAATCTCTTCTGACAGATTGGAAATCTGAAAGGTGTGTGTTTGCAGAGTCACAAGGCACCATCATGGGAAGATGGGCTCTGAGGAAAAATACCAACACACAAGAGAGGGCAGGGTGGCAAAGACTGGAAAAATGGTCTCTGTTTGGAATTACCATTCTCATAAGTCAGTAAATTCTATCACTGGAACTCAGAAGCCCCAGCTAGTACAAATAATAGCTTGCAGGCCAGTGTTCTTAGCATCTTCTGTACCACCTGGAACAGAATGCTCACTCAGGTCCCACACAGGGAGAACAGAAATGATGGAGATGGCCAAGCAAGGCAGAGGCCAGTGATAAAGGAAAATAAATATTCTCAGCGAAGTTATACATGCAGAGTACCCTGGAATCATAGGAGAATAATTTACTCCATCCATCAACCAGGATGAGACAAAGAAGGCCCATCAGAGGTAGTCCCATTTAGAGTGGGCTATGATGAAGAGTAGGGGTCATCCAGGTACAACAGGTACAGCAGACACCCCAGATACAACAAGAGCATGCATTTGTCATGGTCGCATTCTCTGCAATGAGTCTAAAGGCTTACTTCATCTGAGAATGTTAGTCTTCTTATCTGTACAATAAGCCAGTACACTTCTGGATTGGTTCACCAAAAATCAGGGAGAACTTGTTCTGCCCAGGTACTGTATGGTCATTTTGGGATCCAAGGATAACCATGACCTTAGTTGGGGTCAGAGAATGATGAGAAACACAGGCAAGCATGCACAGTGGTGCAGCTCCTGAGCATAAAGAAGGAGTTTGGGGAAGCAGAATGATGAAAGCTAGGCTCCCTGGAAGAGGTGGCTGCTGAGTCTCAGTAGGTATTGATAGTCAGGCACTTAACCACGAAGTCAAAGCTAGGCTTTTCTGTTATTGAAACAACTGCACAGCGAACTTAAAGACCATTTAGGACTTCCTGAACAGCTGCAGTGAGAATATAATGCACAGGGCATATGAGTGAGTCTTTAGAGGGATGCTCAGTGGGACACTCCTCATTCGTGGTTTATAAAGGCAAATAAAGACAAGATTATTTCCATGCAATCTCTGCTCCCTGGAGTGATAACCTCAAAATCTGTTGAGTATTCATGTGGACAAGACACAGCAAATCCTTTGGGTCATTTTAGTCATTGCAAAGAAGAATTAGGATTATCTCTCTGCACAGACGCAAGGTTAAATTTCAGAGTTTGGCAACCTGCTTGTAGAGCCTAGTACATTTTTTCCTATGGTGGCTCATAGAGCTGTAAATTATGAGTGGGAGTCTGAACTTAAAATCTCTGCAAGTTCAACAGAGCCAGCTCAGTTCTCCTCCTCTAGAAGGGGGACTGCATGAGAGTGTCATTAACGTGCTACTGACAAACAGGAGTCAGCAGCAAACTGGTGAGCTTCTTCCATTACTCATGCTAAGATATACCAAGAGCTGAATATTGCTTTCCTTCCCGGGGGCATAGCTCGAAAAGATGATTTTTTTTCTTATTTCTTCAAAACTTTCCCCTCCTTTTGAAGTATGTCAAGCACACAGCTGCAAATCAAGAAGTAAATAATCAAGACCTGTGTTTTCTTCTCCTCAGCTTTATCAAACCCTAATACTTATCAAACATCAAGGTTCTTGAAAAATAAGGCGCTGTAAACTCAGGGCTGCTGAGAACTCTGTGGGTACATTCCAAGGCAGGCACTTCTGCTGTGTCATCTAAACACCAGCAGGAGCTTAGGTCTCCCCCTTCCTCGAGCAGGTTGATACAAGTTCCTAAGTGCACATTAGTCAATTTTTACATCATTTTTAGGTGGCAAGAAAAAAGAACTCTTTGGGTGTGGCAAAGGTTAAAAAGGACTCACTTGAATGAGCCAGAATGGTCTTTTGGAAATGTCCTGATGCTTTCGTCTGAGGCTGAAGAGAACAATTCTGGGAGCTTTCTCGGAGATGCTGACACAGAACATGGCCAGAAGAGGCTTCTGGAATGTCTGTGGTTGGCTTCTGAGACTCCCACCCATCACTCAGAGAAGAACAGTCCAGATCACTTCCTGGGAAAGCAAAAAAGAATTAATCTCTCTCTCTCTCTCTCTCTCTCTCTCTCTCTCTCTCTCTCTCTCTCTCTCTCTCTCCCCTCTCCCTCTCTCTCTCTCTCTCTCCTCTCTCTCTCTGTATGTGTGTATGTGTGTATACATCTATCCATCCAAGGATGCTGTTGTAGTTTTATTTCTGTTGTTATGATGAAACACCCTGACCAAAAGCAATTTGGGGAAGAAAACAGTTATTTGGCTTATAGTTCCAGGTTACAGAGCATCATTTTGGATAAGTTAAGGCAGATAACTCAAGAAACTAGTCACAGTACACCCCAAGTCAAGATTTAAGAGAAACAAGTCCACCCATACTGACTGCTTGCTTCTGCTCCGCTATTCGTTCATTCTTATACTGTCCAGGGGTCCCAGCCTAGGAACTGGTGCATCTCACACTGGGATGAAGAATCTATTTATAAGCAAGATAATTGCCCATAGACATGCTCACAGGCTAACTTGACCTAGCCAATGCCTTGCTGAGACCCTCTCTTCCCAGGTGACTCTAGGTTGTGTCAAGTTAACAATAAAAACTAACCAACAGAACTGCCCTATTTACAGTTCCCAATAATCAGAACAATGGTAACACTGTCTACTGCACTAGTGGAGGAGGAGAGGAAAATCCTTCCTGGACGAGATGGCATTTTAATACGTCCCCATCTTTAGAGGTGTAAAAGACTTATCGTCAGAACACAAATAAGCAGAGATGAGAGGTGTGAGAGTTTGGTGGAAAAAGACAACTATAGCAGTGACATTAAAGAGCCCAGAAGGGTCCAGGAAAGTATAGTTCTACAACAAGATATAGGACAGATCATAGAAAGCATTTTTACCACCTGATGAGTGGGGGATCCATTTATAGAAAAGGACAGTGATGGACTGTTCCTTAGCAAGAGTGTCACCATGTACACGTTCATGTGGTATTTACCTAGGTAAAATAACATATAATTTGATATATATCGTAAAATCCAGGTGGTCCTGGAAGAAATCATGAAATGGTATCCTAACATCCATGTAGGCAAGGAGATGGGTTATCTCACCCTCAATCTCCATGTGATGTTAGGTGGTGAATGAATTTATTTGAAGTATACGTGTGAGCATATGAGCTTGACATCATTACAACATTAAACTTCATAGCAAAGATAACTCCTTCTAATTTGCCCATTCACTCATTTGGCATTTATTGAATGTGACTGCATATCAGACCATGCTGTTGAGAAGCAATAGTGAATTAGACACATGTCACCATTTGTTCATGAAGTTTATACTCAGGTGGGAGATGAGTGGCAGAATATATTGTGATAGGTGTCACTACAGAAATCCACCCTCTGTAAAACACATGGAAACACTGAATGAAATATCGAATACCAAATACATGCTTTGTTTTATCATTCACAGAGGATACTTGGTGCAAATAATAGTTTCTAAAACACAAATGCACTCTCTTATAATGGTTCATTCATAAATACATTTTACTAACCCTGAAATTAGACTATCAATGCTTCCAAAGAAATGATCAAGTTTGATCTCAAATCCATGCAACATAAAAAGTCAAAACATGCTAAGATAACTCCTAGGAACATCTGATGTCCTCAACATGAAGTCACCATGGGATGATATTTGGTTGCTTACTCTTGAGCTGAATTTAAGGTTAAAAGACTCCAAAGTCCCCATACCAGAACTTTGCTGGAAAGGATGAATATAATAAGTAAGAATGACTTTCAACTATATAGGTGGTGCCACAACTTGACTCACCAAAAGCCACTGATTTGACTCATCTGGTTTGAATGTCCTAAGAATTCTCAAGGCTCTGGCTTTGATGTTCTGTGTGATCGCTACCCACAGCTTAGTTTCACTCCCATGTCTGCTGGTGAGAACTTGAGACAATGCAGAACACACTGGCTTGGAGACAAAGACATTCACAAAGAGCAGGCAGAAGTCCTACATGGAATGCAGGTGTTTCCTGGGCTGGCTTAAAAGGTGGCACATATCCAACACACATTCTTTCAAAGCCCCATGCTTAAGCTCAAAATGAAAGGTCACTCCCAGCAGGCAAGCTGAGGCCACTCACACCCCTCAACAAGAGCTATGGCTGAAGCTGATAGGGATGGGGGATGGAAAGAAGTATTTGGAAGTCATAATTAGAGGGCTGCTGTTTAAATGGTGCTATAGGTCATGAGGAAAGGCCCTTTACTCTTAAAGGAGGCAGAAAATTAGAATCAAGTCCCTGCAGGGCTGAAATAGTCTATTTCCATCATGAAAAGATGAGGGAAAAAACAAAACAAAACAAAAAAATGTTCAGTAGCTCATGTCTGGTCAGTAGATGGGAGGAAACTATTTCCTTGACCTTGTAAATGTGGGTTTCAAGTTCAACTTTGTACTAATCCAGAGAGTTAATATTTTTTCTACCAGTACTGGCCCTTGATAACTGCCAGGAGCCAGGATATAGCATCACTCAATACAAGCTGCATAGCTTCCTTCAGAGAATGTCCAAGAGAACTGTTCACAGCCCTACATCACAAAATGTACAGAGATATCATCTCACACGAGAAAAGAAAATAAATATGGCTATGAAATCTGAAGAACTCTAGGTAAAAGATACCTAAAGCATTCATGCAATCCCTGCTTAGATTTCAGCTTTGACCTGCTGGCCTGGTATTTGGGGAGATTGTTTTACTTTTGGGGAAAATGATGGAGTAGTGATGAATATTTTGTTTTTCTCTCATTTGCAGTCTCACCTAGTTTTTGATTGGCTAATTAGACAACAATTTCTAGGTTTCATAGGAGTCTTGGTTGCATGACTAATGAATATTCAGATCAGAGGCTCAAAATGTTTACTGAGTCCATCCATGTGGGAGGAATAAAGAAGAGTGGGAGGAATAAAGAGGAGTGGAAACAGACACTGACCCAAAGGAGGTGAAAATCCTAGTGTGTATAGGGGTGGGGGAGCTCAGTCGTGGCAGACAGGAAATAAGGCACTGTTGATTGAATAGAAATACACGTAACCAGATGTCATTTATTAAAATACAACATACAATTTGATGGAAAATGCCAAGACTTAGGCTTCAGGATATTTGGAATATGAATTATAATAAGAGGGACATAGTTCATTTTATTTTAATTTTATGATCTCTAATTTATTCCTCTATAAAACAGATAATTTCTAACTTCCACAGTGATGTGATGACTGAGTAAGATGAGAAGTGTAAACATCTCATAGCACAAGATATATGAAGGACCTGAAGCTTTTAGTATTAATACACATTATAATATACAGAGTTCATGGCTATATCTGGGATGGTCACTTCAGAGGTGGAGACAGAAAGATGCTGGGTTGTCATTAAATGATGTTTCCAGAAGGGACAGATTATCCAGAATATGAGTTTATTATCTCCCTGGCAAAAGGAAGGTGTTTTACTTTGAATTGGATATCTAAGAAATTTCCCTTCCACATAAGGATTTCTTGATTGTTCCCTCAGACTCTTTTAGACTTGATACTTATTATATACTCTAGCCCCTCTGAATTTACTGTGGGACAGATTATATCCTCTGCCACCTGTTTCCTTAACGGGTTGAATGTGTATAGTGAGAGGGTCTCCAGAAAGGACACAACTGAAGTGTTGGGAGGAATAGCTATGACCTAATATGATTTTAGAGGGAGTTGAAACCGAAGAGAAGGGGAGAAGAAAGCAGCATTCTGGAAGTCATTTTTTTTCTCATGAATTGAGAACCTCAAGAGAAGCGAGCTGGAGTTGATATCAGTCCTATTTAACAATCAGAAAGGCCTTTTCTGTTTCCATTGCTGTCAGGGAAAGCCCAGCACATGCTATGACCGAGGAAACATGCCAGATGGGAGGAAGGACTGAAGCAAGGCAGGCTACAGTGACACCCCAGGGAAGTCCCTCAAGCCAGAGGATTTCAGAAACTGCAGCAAAACTAGAAAAGACAGGTGCTTCACGGACACAGAGCCAGGGGGTCTGTTGTGCTTATCATCTACCCTGCATGGATTGCTCATTCAAAGAACAAGAGGAGCCAAGTCCTATTATAGTGAAAGCCTAAAAAAGAATGTCTGAGTCTGCCTGGGAGAACATGGGGAGATTTCACAGAGGAGGACTGAAGCAGAAACCTGGAGGGTGAGTAGAAATTCTAGCAGAAGACAGTAGGAAGATAAGGGACCAGGCACAGAGGAAGAAGAGGACAGAAAAGGGAGGACAAAGCCAAGAGATACCAGTCTGAGAGACAATATGGTAGGTTCCCAGTGAGCGAGCTCTATATGGCTAGATAGAAGAATAAGCCTGGGGGTGATTACCTCAAGATGATTCTCATTGGACATAGATGACGTAATGTTTTCAAAGCCTCCTGTCACATTCAGATTCTAAGATTATTCTGTGAGGAATTTGGAGTCAGTAATGAATGTCCAGAATAAATGTGACATGAGCCTTTTGGCTAAAACACTCTAAGCAGTGAGCCCTGGGAGCTCTCGAGTCTTCATGGCAAGAGCTGGAGTGACTTGGGAACACTAAGACACTTGGGGTCCTCTTATAACAAGAGTTTTTAATTAGGTGGTATTCTTCTTCCCTGGGACATCTTGGTAGCATCTGAAGGCACTTTTGCTTATCATAACTTGAGATGTGTGGGCTATTACTGTCGTGTGTGAATAGAGGCTGTACATGCTACTAACATGCTATAATGAACTGGGTGGCTGACACAATGATGCCTGACCATCCCCTAAGACCAGTTACACTAAGATGGAGAATTCTGTCAAGGGCATAACAGACCAAGAGTATAAGGTGTTGAGAGCATTAATACTCTTCCAATCACTCTGAGGAGTGTTGTTTTTGCTGTTTGCCCTTACTCTTATCCAAATACCCTGTTCTCTGCCCTCATAGGACAATTTATAATTTATAATCTTTTATAAAACTAGACTATGGGATATGTAATTCATGTGAACTCTTGATTAGTGTTCATCTCCATCAATGATTAGATTGAAAGCTCCATGAGGAACAGGTAATCTCACCTGCAGCAAAAAATGTAATTAGTACCCAGGTCATAGCTTGCCTTCAATGTTCATGAATGGGGAGACCATGTGAAGGTGAGAAATTGAGACAAGTACAAGGCTACAGTAACCACAGAGATGGTGGGTCAGTTGTCATCCCTATGGAAGCCGAGGCTGATGGGAGATACAGGCATCAGGAAGTGCTATCCTGTGGCCTCACCCTACATGTGGCCCTACATAGCCTAGATAAGTATCTACCACACATACATATTCCTTCCTACTATTCTCGCATAGCTTCTGGGTACTTACCAAAGGAGTGTAAGAAAACATCTTTGCTGGTTGCCATAGATAAAGAAAGCAACAGATAACCGACCAGTAAGGACCACATGGTAGAGCTTGTCCTGGAGCATTCTCACTGTAGCACTACTCACAATAGCCAAATACAGATGCAACTTGAGTGTCTGTCCACAGATGAATGCATAAAGAAAATGTGGCATGTGTATGCAATGGAATGTTGTTCAACCTTAAATAAGGAAGTACCTACATGACAGTGTGCTAAGATAAATGAGCCAGTGTAAAAGGGCAGATACTAGCCGGGCGGTGGTGGCGCACGCCTTTAATCCCAGCACTCGGGAGGCAGAGCCAGGCGGATCTCTGTGAGTTCGAGGCCAGCCTGGGCTACCAAGTGAGTTCCAGGAAAAAGGCGCAAAGCTACACAGAGAAACCCTGTCTCGAAAAACCAAAAAAAAAAAAAAAAAAGGGGCAGATACTGAGTCCACTTCCGTAAGGATAAACTTTCAGAAGCAGATAATTCAGCAGTGGCTGCCAGGGCTTTGAAAGTTAAAAGGTGGAAAAACCTGGAAGTATAGCATTTCCATTACATTAAATGGACAAGTTTTAAAGATGTGTATGGCACAGTCCTGTTGCCTGTATTTAATAATACATTTATTAAGAAGATGGATAACGTTAAGCATTCTTAAAACACACCTACACCTGTGCACACACACAGAAGGATATAAGGCGCCTTGGGGAGTTGTTTTGTATGTCTTTTATGTTAATAATGGTGATAAATAACAGGTGTTTGCATATAGTTAACTCATTAAATTGTACATATTAAATGTGTACATTCCTTTGTGTATCAAGTACACCTCAGTAAAGCTGTTGAGAGAGAGAGAGAGAGAGAGAGAGAGAGAGAGAGAGAGAGAGAGAGAGAGATGACCAAATTAATGCAGAACTAAGAAAGGATCCAGGACATTCCTGGCTGATCACACATTTCTGAAAGGCCATTCTGTGATTCCAGAACATGAGGCAGGTTCTGTGGTAAAAGGAAAAATAGCCCTGTGCTGCTTCTCAGAAATACCTGGTCTAACTTAGAGAATTAGTACTGATAATTAAATAAAACAAATGACTCTTGTGTTGGAAATCCTACACAGAACTTTTAAATGATGCCATTAAACACAGAAATCATAAAAATTTCTTAATATTCAAAATGACCAAGGAGATATTTGTCTCTAAAAAGATGTGATTTGCCTCAACCCATACTTTTCTCTGAGTGATTTCTAGCTTCTGCTAAGTTTAATAGTAAATGAATGGATCTTAACACATCAAATATTTCAACAAATATCTTTAGTTGGATTGTACTTGAAAGTATTAATTTTTATGCGTTGAAATGCATAAAATTCAATCCTGTGCACTGTATATGTTCCATGCATACTTTCCATACCTTTGCACATAAAATAAGCATCCTATTACTTCAGAGAGAAGCATGAAGCCACAAGTAGACATAACCATTGAGGACACATATGCAAGGGGCCTTAGTCCTAGAGAAAAGCTCTGAGTTCAAGCTTGTGACTTGCCTGTCCTAGGGCTAACAGACAGAAAGGGCTAAGGAAGAAAGATCCTGTTCCATTCAATTCTCCCTTCTGTGAATTCTCTCTTCTCTTTCAGGGTGACTCACAGGTCCAGGAACACATTCCAAATTGCAGTTTGGGGTGGGGGGCGGGTCTTGGGAACTGCCAAATGCCAAGGCTGGAGAATGAATTGCGACTAACGAGAGAAGGTATCTCTGTGCAGCTGGAAAGGGGTAAGAGGAGGACAAGCGAAGCAGGCAGAACAGCCTCTCGTCTCAAAAATGAAGTATGAGAAAATCATTGGAAATAGTGTTTGATTGCAGCCACTGCACAGAGAGAAAATAGCAAAACAATTTAATTTTGAATTCTTCTGGAGTCTTCTAACTAGGCTATATTTCCAGAGGGGAAAAAAAAAATAAATTGCTGATAAATCAAGAGGCCTGGGGTAAAACCGGAAAACTAGACGTCTGAGGAAATTTGATTACAGCTGACAGCAGAGATGAGAGCTTTCCAAGTCTTCTGTGCATCCAGGTTGACTAATTACTGATTTTTTTGCAAGGGGTGGTTTGATTTGTTATATTTAGAAGATATTTGACAACCATGAGAATTTTAATAAGATACCTCATGCATGTGCAGCACTACTGTGGTCCAACTGCTTTCAAGTTGTTTAGGCACGTTTGGAAGAACCAAGTATGGATGCCAGATGCCGATTTCCAAATATGTGAAAATGGCCTTTGTAAAAAGCCATTCCCCAGTGTTAAGAGTTTAAATGTGAAATGTCTTCCGTGAGCTTGTGGGTTGGTCACCACCTGGGTTGGAAAGGTTATAGGGTTCTCAGCAAGTGGACCTTTGCTGGAGGAAATAGGTCATTCAAAGTAGGCCTTGGGTTTTTGTTGTTGTTGTTGTTATTGTTTTGTTGGTGGTGGTATTGTTTTGTTTTGTTTTGTTTTGTTTTTTAGCACAGCTCCACTTCCTATTTGCTTTCTGCTTCCAGACCCATAGACACAGTTTGACTGGCTGCCCCACTCTCCTGCCATCAGATCTTCCCTGCTGTGCTGAACTGTTTACCTTCAAACTGTGAGCCAAGGTAAGCCCTTCCTCCTCCAAATTGCTTCTTGTCCCAAATTTTGCCACAGAACAAGAAAAGTAACCAAGACACCAGCTATAGTTACCAGGCACCATTTCCCATTCTTTGCCATTTCATGGAAACTGGCTTCTCTTGGTCACTTAGTCCTGTCTTCGAATGGACTCTTTTAGGCTTTTATTTGAAAGGAAACTCGATCTCAAGTATTTATAGTCACACTGAGAGAGTAAACACACATACACAAAAGAAATGTAAGTCTGCTAAATACTGAGCATGTTCATTGGCAAACAGGGGGACTGGAGAGATGGCTCAGCAATTGAGAGCATTTGATGCTTTCCTATATGGTCCCAGTTTGATTCACAGAACCCATGTGGAAGCTTACAACCAATTGTAACTCTAGCTTCAGGGGGCTTTAGCCCCCTGGCCTTGGAGGTTACATCTACACATAATTAAAAACAATACAAATAAATCTTTGTAGAGGGAATGTGTTGAGTAGAGAGCATCAACCCCAAGCTCATTTGATAGTTTTTTTTTGAGTTACTGCACTTCATCTTCATAGCAATCCTACATGGTATTATCATTGTCATTATATTGATAAGGAAGTGGAGATCAGAAAAGTTATTCAATGTGCCCAAGAACACACAAGTGGGAAGAGGTGGTTCCAAGACTTGAATTCAGGGGCACTTACCCCAAAAGACAGGTCCTTTCATCACTCTGCTTTCCTGTCTTTCAGAGCTGGCACTGACAGCTTTCTTTACACAGTTCTCCAAATGAAACACATCTGTTTGTTAAACTTCTCCCGCTTCCTCAAAACCCCATTCAATCTGTGACAAACTGTCAATTCTACATTTTAAAAAATCCCTTAATTCTTTTCCTTCCATTCAATCTGTACAATCTTGGAATGCTTGTTGCTTTTCTCGCTTCTGAGCTCACATCAACTAACCTCTATCCAATCTTCCCTTGCATACTACTAGAAAACTAGCACTGAAAATCCAAATCTGATGTGTCTTTATCCTGCTTAAGATCCTTCAAAATTACCCTTGAATCATTAAGTAAACTCTTTCTCCTCAATAAGGCACAGAAGGTTCTTCAGCCCTCCACCATCTGTCTTTCCTAATCCAACCCCCATGTCCTGCCTTCTGTCTATGTCCTGTTTAGATTTCCTTGCTATTGGAACTAGAATGCACTTGGTTTGATTAATCATTTGTTCATATTATGTGACTGGTTCTTCATTTGACAAGGTTTTATTCTTTTAAAATGAATCTAGCATTGTACACACCTTCACACACACACACACACACACACACACACACACACACACACACACACAAAAGAAAAAGAAAAAAATAGAATCTTCATATCATGCCAATTGGGAAATTTGTACCATCCATCCAATTTTCTCCTATTTGTAACAATTTATAATACCTCAGAATATTATCAAAACCAGGAAAAACTGGATGGATGGTACAAATTTGCATTCTCATCACTTTCCCCTTAATTACTCTCTGTGTAACACTTGTTAACATGATAAATAATATGGTTTGCCTATTTCCCAACAAAATATAATGTCCATAAAAATAAGCAGTTTCATTGGCTTTGCTCAACACTGTACTTGGGGCATAGACAGTTTCAGCCCCTGCTTAAAAAGAAAAGTCTTCCTAATTAAAAGAATGGACTGGACCTACCTGGACTGAGTCTACCAGGTTGATCTCAGTCCACGGGGGAGGCTTTGCCCTGGAGGAGGGGGGAATAGGGGGTGGGCTGGGAGGAAGGTGAGGGGGGCCGGAGGGGGGAGAACAAGGGAATCTGTGGCTGATATGTAGAACTGAATTGTATTGCAAAATAAAAATTAAAATTAAAAAAAGAATGAATTCTTGTAGAGTTCTCAACCTGAAACCACTCATTGAAATGGTCCATTCTTGCAAAAATGTATCTGAGTGATCAGAGTGAAATGCATGTAAGGGAAAGGAACAAAGGTGAAGTTGAAGATAGACCAGAGACATGGGATTGACATAAGAACAATTGTGCAGGGACCCATGCTCAGGTGGGCCTCACTTTGAGTTCAGCACTCTGCTATCACATTTAACATTTTTTTTTTGTTCCAGACTCTTCATTCTCATTTTGTATTGGTTGCTAAAAATTTAATCCAGTTCTAAGAATCAGAAGACAGTCAAAGGAATTTATATGTGTTAGGAAGGAATGGCTAGTCACAATATAAACCTTGGAAAGTCCATAATCCCAGCAATTTGGAAGGTGGAACAGGCAGAAATGTCATTCTACCTCTGATCTGCTTCGTAAGTCACTCATTTCTTAAGACCCTCTTAGATGTTATTTTACCTGAAATGCAGTGGCCTTATCTAGGCTGAGCTCATACAACCTTTCTGGTTCATGTGTTAGTTTTCTCTTCATCATTCTCTCCGTGCTCCTAAACCTGCTATAGCACTTAAGGCATTATACTGTAATTGTTTGCAAACCTATTTCCTTCCTTATCTGAGAAAGGATTTTCCCAAGGTTAGGGCTGTGTCTTATTTAGCTTAGTACAGTGGTTTCCACAGAGCATGTAGTCAAGGATTTGATGAGTAAATAACAAGAGAATGGGCTTTGAGTTCATATCATTGCCTTTATAGACATAGATTTTGATGCATGAATGCATGAGCACATATTTATATTAGATATGTAATTTATATAAGTATGTATCAACTGTTTCAATGGAATACACACATATATGTATATGCATATGCATGCATATACCATGTTTTCAAACTAAGGCAATTGAGACTTAACAAGGCTCCTATCATAGTATGCCAAAACTGAGATTTGAATCCTGACTCCAGGTCACTGTCTCCAATATAGTTCTTCCAAATTTGCCTCCATTATCACTTCTCCACTTCTATTCCATATATGAAAAGTCATATGGGAAATGGGCCAATATTTTCTGCGTATTATCAGCATTCTGATGCAGCTATTTACACGCTGACTTTTTGCATGACATGACCTTTGTATTTCAACCATAGTGTGGGTGGAAATATGTCAATGAAATTTTAAACTCTGGCTTCACCCTCTCAATCAAAATGATAGTCATCTCTGGACTGTGCCTTGGACCAGGACTATATGACTGTCATTCATAAATGACATCTCATTATGGAGTGCAAAAGTCAAGATCACCATTTTCAGTGCAGTGGTACATACCCAGGCTCCTAATGTCCTCCAGCCAAGTGTCCTCACTTGGAGGTGAGTCGGCATCTCCAAAGATGCTTCCATGCAGCCAAGATTTAGAGGCTCTGAGGTCCAAGAGAGAAGAAAGAGAACGGTGGGTTCTCTTTTTCTTTCTAAATATTCTGGGAAGAAATGAAAGCAGTGAGTAGCAGTCACCTCAGGTTGGAAACAATCCACTGGGAATGATTTGAAGCATAGAGCAGGTCTATAACCCAAATCCATACACTCAACTAATTCCTTCAAAGTTTCTTATAGGTCTACTGTGTTCTGGGATTGTGAATTAAAGTTCCCCCAAAGTAACCACACTTTATACCACATATCTATTGTGGAAAGGCTGGAATGTCGCAGAACCAGAGTACATTATCCCATTTCTGAGATTTGGAAAATGAGACCCAGAGAGGTTATGTTATTTGGCTAAGGTCATCCAACCAGTAAATGATGTAGCTTGGAAGCAAATCTAATAAGTCTGACTCCACAGACACTGGTCCTAACCATCATATTATGTTGGAGATATGTACTCTGAAGAATTACATAGAAAATGCCCACAGAGAACTGGAATGGCCAGGGTAATTGTATTGGGTCATGGTGGAACATGAAGCTAGAAAGATAGTAAAAAGTGCTGTATGTTTCCTTGGGGACCTTGGGTTTAATGTTAGTGTAAAAGAAAACACAGGAATGTGTCTTAGTAAAGCGAGGGGTAATGATGTGACTTGGTTTTCATTTCCGAAGACTCTTGGCCACAGAGGATGGCTTGCGGGGGCAGGATTGAGCGGAGGGAGATATTGAAAGTTCATGACAATGTCCCTTGTTGTGCACCTGTCTGGGATGTGCCAAGCTGTGTGCTGAATACATTATGTTAGTGAGAAATGCTAAAGGGCTGATCCAGAACCAAGTAACATAAAGAGGAAGTGGGTTGCTTTTATTGTGACAGCACTCTACTGTTCAGGGGCATCTAGAATCACTCTCAGAAGATGCATTTTGAAGTGGCTTTCCCTCAGTGTAAAAGTAGGTTAGAGCAAGCTTTGGGTTTTATTTATTTAATTTGTATGTAGAGTGTGTGTGTGTGTGTGTGTGTGTGTGTGTGTGTGTGTGTGTGTGTGTGTGCATGTGTGGAAGCCAGAGGTCCACCTTGAGTATCTTTATCACTCTCCCGCTTATTATTTGAGACAAGCTCTCTACTGAACCTGGAGCTTTCTGATTGGACTAGATTGGTTGGCCAATGAGCTTAATTGCACTTGACTCTGCCTCTCCAGCACTGAGAATACAGATGCACAATGCTGTGACTGGCTTTGTGTGGATTCTAGAGATCTGAGTACATGTCCTCCCGCTTGCCCACAAGGCCATTGACCCACTGAGACATTTCTTAAGTCCTAAGCCCTAATTATTCATGGTTCTCAAGTAGGATAATTTTGACCTTCTTTCTTGCCAGAAGCCCCTTCCTGAAGCTATATCCCAACCAAGCTACTTGCATTCTCCTAATTGTATCAGGGTTTCTCAGAGTCCTTTGTCTGTACCTTTCTCTATGACATTCCATTTCCTATTTTGTTTTAACAGCCACTCTATGTCTTTTAAAATTCACCGTCCCCGTTTCTAAGAAGCCTATGTGTCCTGTTCCCTAAGTGAAACTGGCATATTTCTCTTTCCCTTCACTGTCCCCAATATCAGCTTCCACCCCAGCATGTGTATTACTTCATTTCACTATCATTTGTTTTCATGTTGGCTTTCCCTGCTTCCAATGCCTCTTTTATTCCCATACTCTCGAGCAGCACTGAGTCGCTTATTAGTGTGTGAATGAATGAATGGTGGGCACAATGGCCTTGAGAAGCCTTTACACAATATTTTCTACTTACTTAACTAAATTCTCCTTGTACATAACACTGGTATGTGAGGGGTTCAGAGTGATGTGGCCATCTGGGTCACAGAGGAAACTGTCCTCAGTCCAAATGTAGTAGCCATTGGTGAGGAGTCGAGGGCTTCTGCGGCAGACATAGTGGGAGCCTGTCAGGGGATCTATGGAGCAGCATTCAAAAGAAATGTCTCCATCCAGGAAGTCACAACCAAAGCTAAAAAGGAAAAAAGGAAGGTCCTTTAAGTCACTACCAAGTACTTACAATCATAAAAACCCCATAGGACCATCTAGACATTATGAAGGCAATTTCATTCTTCACATTTAAGATTGTCAACTACTTCCACAGCCTTTAGCAGTGGTGCTCTTAACTTTCAGGGCTTTGGCCTTGAACCACACAGCATTTAGTTCTTTCTATTTTGAATTTTGGTAACAACATTCTGGTCAACCAGCTCCTTCACCTTAGGGTGGATCTACACACTTGCTATTAATCCACTCTTATGGAAACATTGCCAATCAGCCTTTCTGGGATGTTGGGAAATCATTGTTCCCTTCACTCAATAGAGCTTAAGTGTCGTGTGCCACATCGTCGCTCTTGCCACTGTACTAGAGAAACTACAATTTCCTTTCCTTTAAACCTCCCACTTGAGAGATTATCCAGCTGTTTGATGGCAGCTCCTGTATCTTACCCAAGTCCTTTCTTTTCCATGCTAAAAGTTTTCCCATTCATATAACTCATCTTTCTTTGGCAGAAGGTGACTTTGAACCATTTACTGCTTTCCTGGGACTCATTTTCTCTGTTGTCAAGTTAAAGCATCCTTTTCTTTCTTGTGCCAAGCAAGGGACACTTAGGTGTATCCATCCAGAGGGCACCATGATTGTCATCTCCCTCCTTACAGAATTCCTTTCCTGAATTACAAAGTCTAAGACATTTGGGTTTTTTGTTCATCTACCTTCATCACCAACATATTGTCTTGCCAACTGAACCAACTGTCAATTTCTAGTAATTTCCCCATACCTTTAATCATATCACCATTTCCAGATGTGTGTGTTCACTTCCCCTTAGAATATCAGTATACAGTAGACTAAAGAGAAGATATTTGCATCTAATAAGAGCTATGTTTTTCATCATAATTCTACAAATTGTTTCTGTTCTTTTTACATGCTCTTTTTCTGCATATTTCCTGTACATTATGAACAAAAATCTGTATATTGAAGGTTATTTAAGCCCCATAGAGTTTCCTCAAAGATGTCATAATTTCATGGACAGTTCTTAATACTGATGTCTTTCATATTCTAAAGGTTCCAAACTAAACACGTTGGCTACTATTTGAATGTGCTCATCTTTTGTGCTTTTGAATTCTGGGGGACTCTAACTGTCCTAATTTGCTTTTTTCTTGCCATGTTGAAACATTTGGACTAAAGTCAACTTGGGAAGGAAAGAATTCATTTCACCTTACAGGTTACAGTCCATTCTCAAGGAATGGCAAGGCAGGCACTCAAGGCGGGAGTTTGAAGTAGAAACCCGAAGGAACATTGCTTGCTGGTTTACTTCTGTTAGTTTGCTAAGCTAGTTTTCTTAAACAGCTCAGGTCCACCTGCCTAGGGCTGGCACCACTCACAGATATCTGGGCCCTCATCTATCAAGTAGCAAGTTAAAAAAAAAGGCCTCACAGGCATGCTCATAGGACAATCTATTTGAGACAATTCTTCAGTTGAGGTTCCTTCTTCCCAAGTGACTCTAAAGTTGTGTCAAGTTGACAGCTGAAGGTAACTATGACACTAACTGTATCAATATAACACTTTTAAGGTCTTTGTATAATTTCATTAAATTGTAAATGTAGGTAAAGGCTAATAACTAGAAAGGAGACTGAGAGAAGTTACAAACAGGCAATGAGGAAGGACAGAGGTTAGGAGAAAGGACACCTAGGACATGAAAGAGAAAGAGGTACTGGTGAAAGATGTTACGGAAAGGGAAGGGAAGTCTAGGAGAAGCAAGAGAATGGGGAGATGAGAGGAACTTCGTTCAAAAAATGCCCCCAAGTGATTTATAATATTTTTATGCTAATTAAAAATATTTATAGACTTACTGATGTTGTCAGGTCCTTACTTTAAATCACTGATGAAAATACTGAATGGTACAAGCAGAGAGACCTGAGACATTGGAAATGCCAGAAATGAGCTCTCTCCAGAGAGGCCTGGACCACTTCATTTCAGCATCATTTTTGCTTATCATTTCCTCTTTTTGTAGAAAAGAAAAGGAAGACACCAGTAATAGCACCAGATAATAATTGCCCAAGATCTTGAAGCTTCTGAGTGAGAGGTGAGTTACAAATTCCTAATTTTTTGATGGGGCCTTCTACCCTATGTTTCCCTCTCCATACTATTTGCCCTCTTAAGAATCAATGGAGCTATCCATAGTGCACTTGGCACTTGGAGACTACAGAGCTCTGGACCTGTATTTCTAGCTGCCCTCTGAGGTTCTGTCTTTAACCATTATTATGAACCTCAGTTTCTCTAACTCTGGGCATCTTTCCTTTCAAGTGTCCTTAAGTTTTTCTCTATTTCTTGACTGTACATAAAATAGAAATATTCTTGCAACCTCAACATACTAGTAAGAGTGTTCTTGGTGATACCAAATCTTTTCAGTGGTAACAAAACTACCTCTAGGTCTTGACACTCATTTGAATTACACTGGAGGCATTCCAGCAGCTTACTGTCTTTCAATAGACTCTTTTCAATGGATTTCAGAAACCTAACCACACATACAACCAGCAACCTGCTCAACTGTGCAAATACTAAGTTCTTTCTTGTCATGAGAAATGATGACCAAGTCATGGGAGAATTTTGCTTCCTGGTATTGGTGAAGGAACAGACCCCACCATAGCCTTTAAAAATTTTGTGTAGTTATTCATATATTGGTAGGATATAAGCCATGTCTCATATCCTCTTTCTACATTTCCCACAGACATTACTTACTTTTTCAGTTTAAAAACCTATGAATAATTAACATATGAGCTTGTTGTTAATAGTATACTAATTAATAGAAATTAATTGAAGTTGAACCATGAATCTAGCCCCAAACTTTTTATTTGTTCTGCCCTTTGCAAATCTCACTAAAAGGTAGGGATACTTATTATTCTCTTCATATAGCAAGAAAAAAATTAAGATTTAGAAAGGCAAATTAATTAGCTGTTTAATACAGTTTACTTGCAGAGAAGCTACGATGCAATCCTAGTTAAACTGGTCCAACATAAACTCATATTTCCTTGGCTGACTCATGTGGTAATGTCAGAAAACCTGAAATTTACAGGAAGGGCAAATTCTAATTTCAGTGCTAGATTCTTTTTATCTTGCAGGTACATTTCCGAAAACGTTGGGGAAACCTCAACTAATGCCTGTGGAAGGAATAACCAGTGGACAGAAACTCAGGTAGAAAAATCACAGGAAGGAAAACAAAGACTCCATTGCAAGTTTGAACAAAATGTTGGAATCAACTAGTTTGAGTAGAACATGAAATGTAACCAGCTTGTACACTGGTAAATACTGTGACCCTTGTAAAATGAAGTGGCAAGACACAATGTGATGGTTTGAATGAGAATGATCCCCCTAGACTTACACATTTGAATGCTTGATCTCCAGTTGGTGGAACTGTTTTGGGAGGGTTAGGAGGTGTGGCCTTATGGGAGAAGATATGTCACTAGGGATGGGCTTTCAGGTTTAAAAAGTCCATGCCTGTTCCAATTAGTTCTTTCTTTATTTGCCTTATGCTTCTAGATCATATGTAAACTCTCAGCTACTGCTCCAGCACCATGCCTGCCTGATTGCTGCCGTATCCCCCTGGTCATGGACTGTAACTCTCTAGAATTTTAAGCTCCCATAAACAATTTCTTCTATAAGTTGTCTTCATCATCATGGTGCTTTAATATTACAATAGAAAGCAACTAAGACACCAGTTTAAGAAAAGAAACCGAAGGGGCTGGAGAGATGGCTCAGACATTAAGAGCACTGGTTGTGCTCCCAGAAGTCCTAAGTTCAATTCCCAGCAACCACATGGCAGCTCACAACCATCTATAATGAGATCTGGTGCCCTCTTCTGGTATGCATACATACATGCACACAAAACACTGTATACATAATAAATAAATAAATCTTTAAAAAAAGGAAAGAAACTGAAACTCAGCCATATCTAAATATTCAATGTAGTTTTCCATTCAATAAAGAAATGGTTACACCTGCCTACACACTCATACTAAAAAGAAAAAAAAGCAATCCATTCTTAGAGTAGACAAGTTTTTAGTTGCTAATACACAGGACTGAAAATATATAGCCATGGTCCTTTTAAAGCAACACAAAATAAGATGGGCAGGAAGGAAGTTTGATTTGACAGAGAAAAACCCCATGACATACCTTGGGAAAAGGCATGTGGGGGACAGTTCTCCAGAAAGTCCTCTGTTTGACCTGGAGGAATCTGCATAAGGAAACAAGAGAGAATTTTTCAACATCTCACCAACATGTATGATCATGATTGCCAACAGGGGTGACCCATGAGCAGGTGTGCCTAGATGATGTCCCAGCCTTAGCAAGAAGATAGCAATGTGATAGAGCAGTGTGAAAAGCTAGTTTCAAGGAATCCACCAACTTGTCACCAATCCCCTATGGGAAGCACAAAGTAATCTAGATGCTTTTGTCTACTGTCCTTTCTCACACTCCCCAGTCCTTAAAAGGTTTCTTTAGTAGAGGGTGACAAATCATGACCACCAAACTGAGCTTATGAATGGAAGAGAAAAAGCATCTTGTGTGATATTGTAAAACATCAAAATCAATTGCTCAATGTGTTGGTTATTGTAGCTTACTCCATAATCTGAGGAATTCAATCACTGGCCAGGGATTCTGTTATTAGTGCTTAGTAGATGCTTCTGCTATAGCAAACAGAAGGCATTGTTTGGGCAGAGTATAAAGTCTTGATTTTGTGTGTGCAAGTGTGTGTGCATGTGTCTTCCTCTATTGCTCCCCAGCTTTTTTGATACAAAGTCTCTCACTGAACCTGGATCTCATCAGTTCTACTAGAATGTCTCATCAGTACCAAGATTACAGATGCATGCCATCATACCCAGCCCTTTATGTGGGTGATGTGATTCTGAATTCAGGTCTTCATACTTGCATGGTGAACACTTTACATCACAGTGCTGTCTCTCTAGCCCTGTATTTGATTTTGTTTCTTTTAAATATATGATTCTTAAAGGTATGAAGCCTGTGAAGTCTTCATTAAAGAAGAGTTAACCATGCACTCTGGCTTAGCCATAGGCACAACAATGGGCTTCACTTGGAGGAGGGTTGCAGGTGATTAATAGTCTAAACTGTGTCACATACACTTTATAACAGGCAGTGGTGGTATCCAGACTTCTAACAACCAGGCTCAGTGAAACTAGGTTTCCTTACTGACAATTACTACTTAAAACAAATAAGGTGATTTAGAATTTCAGCTTGGGCTTTTTTTTTAATAGTAGAAAACTGTGGGTGTGAGAGAAGGTTAGAAAGGGGGTTTGGGGAGAAAAATAAGAGGAAGGAAGACACTCAAAACCACTACCGTTTGAACAACGCCCTTATTTTCTGCAAGTAGCTATCAATCTTTCAGCATTTTTTGTAGACAGCTTTTCATCTTAATTGTAGCCAATAAACAGTCTCCTTTCACATTTATGCATAGGCATCTAAAAAATAGTGATTTTTTTTTTATCCTAAAAGGAAAAAAAATACCACATTTCTCTCAAGGAAAGAAATGAAGTCGAAATCATTGCCAAAGCACACACTGGCATTTAAGAAACACAAGCTACCGACAGATGGCTAATGGTCTAAGTATCAGCAAAATCAAAGCAAGGAAATTGCTAAGAGGACTCTAATCGTTCAAAGATAATTGCACAGAGCAGTTTCACATTTACTTGCTACTGGTGTCGACATCAGTTGAGAGACTCGGTACATCTTGAGAAGGCCGCTCGTTCAAACTTCACAGATTTTTTTTTTCTGCAAAAGACGTTTAAAAAAAAAAGAGATGGACTATATATTAAAAATAGACAAATGATGCCAAAACAGATGGCATCTACTAATTGCACTAGTCAGATTTGTTTGCTGAAATGGTACAGAGACGTAGGATTGATGACAGCAGACCAGATTGTGGGGCTTCAATGAGGTGATGCCTGCTTCCAAGACTTCAAATTCTATTTTTCATTGTCTCCTTGCATAAGTCTGAATATTCTGTAAATAAGGACACCATTTTGGGAGGAAAGCAATACTTACAAAGGTGGATTGGTCATCCTGATTAAATAGTGTGCATTACTTAATTAAGAAATCTGAAACAGCCGGGCGGTGGTGGCGCACGCCTTTAATCCCAGCACTCGGGAGGCAGAGCCAGGCGGATCTCTGTGAGTTCGAGGCCAGCCTGGGCTACCACGTGAGTCCCAGGAAAGGCGCAAAGCTACACAGAGAAACCCTGTCTCGAAAAACCAAAAAAAAAAAAAAAAAAAAAAAAAAAAGAAATCTGAAACAGTGACTGGTTCTAGAGTCCTTGAAACAAACTCATGTGCATTTAAATCAGCCAGCAGAGCGTAGCTTCATTATCGAGTTGCAGAGAGTGCTTGGGGACTGGTGCCTGTCTTTTTTGCTCAACAACATGAACCATTGACAAGTGGCCGAAGGGGCCAGTGCTTTTTGTGGTGGCTATCAGCTTGAACATTCCTAAACTGCATAAGCTACACTGAGCTACAAATAGCACACCACCACCCAGATTACAAAGCTCCATTCCTAAAAGCATATAATTTGCTTTTCAATTACAAAGTAAGCATACATCCAAGCATACTATTTGTGTAAACTTTGATCAGTTACCTCTTAGCATACATTTCTATCTCCAGGTGGCTAGTGAATTGTGTGTGTGTGTGTGTGTGTGTGTGTGTGTGTGTGTGTGTGTGTGTGTGTGTGTGAAATATATATGTATATCACTAACCTGGTAGTTTTGTAAGGTGAGACTGGAGTCTTTTATGACTCAGTAGCTCTGTCCATATATTTAATAAAAATGGCAACTAATAATTGACTGTTGTAGCATAATACATTAAATCAATCACATCAATTCTAGGACTCAAAATAGATTATTTTAATAATATATGCATGAATCTTTCCTATACTCCAGCTTGTAAGATCCCTTTAAAGAAGACAGGAGATATTTCTAGAATTTTCTGAAGATTTCTAAATCAAAACACACATTTTAAAAAAATCATTGGTTTGAAAAGCAAAATATTGCTCACAAGCAAACATATTAACATGTCCCTTGTCACTACAGCATTGACAAATACAGTAAGAATATATCCGGTCCTAAAGACTGCCTGCTAGTTTTACTCAAGCAGTAAGCTTACTTTTAAGTCATGACATTCTGCAGCAGAAAGTAAGGTCTCACTGTTTGATCTTACAAAAGCGAGTAGCTGTATACAGTGAGTATAATGCCAGTTAGTCAAGAATTAGTAACTGTGAAAACAACTTGTGTTAACAGCTTAAGAACTTTGCAAGAAACAGACTCTGTCTACCAGTTCATCAAAGCATTGCATCTGTTCTAAAATATAACTCGCTCATACATATTCCTCCACAGGGAGTCCCCAGGCTCTTCTTCCAACTGATAAATGACAGGATGATTGCTGAAATACGAAGCTTCCCCGTGGTTGGCAGTGCAGAAATCTGGACCCAGCAATTCTTCAGCTGAAAGTCCCGTCAGAATGTCAACAGGTGCAGAAGTTACTTCACAAAGGGAATCCCATCTCCCCTTCTGATGGAAACTGCCCACATCCCTCCTGTATGTAGGCATCCACAGCACAGTTTAGTTCTTCGGTGGTGGCCTCTGGATCTTTCGGCTGTTTCCTAGAATAGACTAGCTTGTCATTCTTGGGAGAGTCAGCCTCACAGCCCTTGTTTACTTTCAAAATCAGACTTCTTAACCAGAGGCAGGGCAGCAGAATGAGGTCATACTTCCTGTCACGATCGTATCAGTGGTGTTCACATAGTGGAACGTGGTGAAGACAGCAGATCTTCTTGACCAGCAGTGGAACATGGGCAACCCAGAGTCAGGTCAGCTGTGATCAATGAGAGATGCTTCTCAGAGCTACCATGTCACCTCAACCTGTATGAACATGACAAAAACTTTCAATCAAGCAACTCTTCCTGTTTGTCATTTTCTGATCATATTCATCTATGGGTAGTATATAATTATGTTCTTGGTTGAATTAGCCTAAGTATGTGGAAGATAATGCATAAATGCTATTAAGTTCAGGATGCTATAAAGGAATATGATTATGTGATTTTATAAGAATTTCCACAGTACTAATCTGTTAAATCAAAAAAGTTTGATTTTTTCCCAAAATGTTCAATGGGTAGTATTCTGCATTTACATTTTATTAGAGTTCAAATAACTTTGTGCTTCTGCTTACACTTATGCTTTTTAAGCAATAAAAGAACTAATCATGCCAGGAACACTGAGGTAACACCGGCAGTGGAAAGAGCCTGGGATTCACAGTCTCACAGGCTAAGATTAAAATGACCTACCATGAAAACTGTGGGACCTCAGACTTGTTACTTAGCCTCCTTGAATTGCAATTTTCTCAAATTAAAATGTAATAATCTATACTCCCAAAGTTGTCTTGGAGAATTAAATGACATGAAAGAAGAGCAAAACAGCTGGATACCTGAGAAAATATGTAAGATGCATTCCTTATTAGACTTTATCAACTGACTTCTTTGTGGAGAGTTTGGTTCGTTAGTCTGGTGGAGAAGTTGGTGTCAATATTCTCGGGGATCCCTACAGTACTGAGGGGTTTTTTTTTTATGTTGGGTGACATCAGTATTATTTCTACTTAGAATCCAACATTCCTTCCACCTCCATTTTCTCTCCCTGAGGCTCCAGCTATCACCTCGTTCTGCCTGGATTTTATGCTAACATTCCAACTGTCACTTGGCCTCTCTCCAATACATTATGCATACCACATACTGAATTATCTCACTATGAAAATCTGATTATGTCATTCCTTAAATTAAGACCTTCGATGGCTAGTCTTTGCTACTCTTTCATAATAAACTCCAAACCATCCCTGCAGCCTATAAAGTCCCTTGAGGTCCAGTATTGTCTTAGTTTGAGCCTAATCATGCACCCATTCTGTCGTCTAAAATCCAACCATGCTGACCTTCAGCATTCCATCCTGTCCAGTTTTGCTTTCACCTTAGAGCCTTTTAACATACCACCTTTACTTCTCCATCTTGTTCCTAGATAGCTCTTTCTTTAACCCTCTCTGACCCTCCTAGATCAAGTTATAGGGTCCATAGCTCTCTACACTTGCCTTGGAATGTGCATCATAGCTACAGTTAATGAACCAAGAGTCCCCTGATATTCAGTCTGCTTTACTGTGAGTGTTGTACACTTAAGGCCTATGCTTTTCTTGTTATCTATCAAGGTCTTCACGTTTCTTATGAGGTCCACCGCACATTAGGAGCTTAAAAATACATGAGTTGCAAGTCTGCCATCTAAGTCAGTCTGGGCCTTTTGACACCCATAGTACAGAATTTTATCATGGCTTGACATTGCTCTTCTGGCCAAAGCCTGGGAAAGCTCATAACCTGCAAAGAGTGGCAGGGCAATCATTTTATCACAGCAATTACTTCACAGTAAAAAAAAAAAAATATCCAAACCTTAGTTGTTTGTAGTGATATGCTTTTACTTTCACAGGTGGTGGCTTTGCAATTGGCCACCATGGCTAAGCTGAACTTTTCCCCAGAACTGTTTCCATTTCATTCTCTACCCAGCAACATGTGCGGAAGGTGAAATGTGGTGGGAGAGCCTTGGCTGATTGATTATATGAAGGTCCATGTGCTGGTTAGTTTTGACTGTCAACTTGGCACAACCAAGAATTAACGGAGACAGGAGTCTTCTTTGAAGAATTGCCTAGATCTGATTGGCCTCTGGCCTCCTTTGGGGTGCTACCATGATGGTTAGTTAATGTAGAAAGATCCAGCCCGTTGTGGACAGCACCATTTCATGGACTATATAAGAGGAGAGGAAGCTCACTGAGCACAAGCAAGCACAGATGTGTACATTCCACCTCAGCTTTTAACTGTGTATGTGATGTGACTAGCTGCTTGAGTTCCTGCCTCGACTTCCCTGAAATAATGTACCGCAGCCTGGAAGTGTAGTCCGTGCAAACTCTTTCCTCCCCTAGGCTGCTTTTTGTTGGGGTATTTGTCACAACAGCTAAACAATCCATGTAGGTCAGACTCTGCTTGTATCTCATTCGTGCATATCCGCATAGGACTCTCTCTCTGTGGACTAAGCTCAAAGCTCCAGTCCCTCCTGAGTCCTCCTCACTGACTTCACAAAGCCTAGTACAGAAGTAAGGATGGCCGTGAAGAAAGACTTTCAGATTCTCTTCAATGCATCTTAGGTAATGGTGTTTGGGACTCTCAGGTGGGAACAGGCCAACATGGCTGGTAGTGACAGATCTAAATCTAGTTGATTCTCAGGCATTTCGGTTTTCATTGCTTTCCTCTCCTCCACGCCAATCTTCTGAACCTGACCAACTGTTCTCTGTGTTTCCGTTCTGTACTGCTTAGAAGAACACCAATTTTGACTCTCTAACAATAGTGCTTATTTATTGCATGCCCCATATCGTTGCTAGTTATCCTCTTTCTCTGCTTCAACTAGATTAATATGCCCTGTCCTATGTTAGCTGTACACTGGCTGCAGTCTAATGTGCTTTGGACTAGTATTGTATTTTATTTTTTGTGGTAGGGGGTATTGAACTTAAGGATTTACACATACTAGGCAAGTATTCTAACTATAGCTAAAGCCCTAGCCCTAGGCCACCATTGTTTTAGTATCCAGGCTAGAGAGTCAGCCCCATGATGAACATCTCCCTTTATTTAAAGTTCTATTTTTGAGATTTCTTCATTTGCATTGTATGCATATGAGTATTTTGCCTACATGTTTGAAAATGCACCATGTGCATTCAGTGACCAAAGGAGATAGAAGAGGACATTGGATCCCTCGAAACTGGAGTTACAAATGTTTATGAGCTGCTACTATGTGGGTTCTGGGAACTCAATGCAGGTTCTCAGAAAGAGCAGCAAGAGCTCTTAACTGGTGATCCACCTCTCTAGCTCAGACACTCCCATTTTAATGCAGAGTGAAAAGAACAAGAGAGTTTGCAGAAACACATGGTGACTTCTAAATCTCTTTTTTACAATAGGCACTTGAAATTTCCACTCACATGTCATGCATGAGTTGAAGCAGCCTGATGGCCAAGCTCAAAGTCTCTACAGTGTAAAAAGTTAATTTTATCAGTAGAATCATCACAAGTCTGAGTAATGGACAAGACAAACAGCAGATAGCGGTAGGAGGAGGAAATTACTGAAATAATGTCTAATTTACTATAGTCCTTCACTGGTCAGAGATACTTACATTCTCCACCCTTGACTTTCAAACATGGTATACTCACTTCTCCCCAGAGGACAATCAAGACCCAAATCAGTCATGGTAGCAGAATTCAAGTCTAGGGAATCTCACAGTGACCACTTTCCAAATGTGATCCCTCTTGATAAGGGGGCCATGGAACCATCATTTCTTCTCTGTCCAACAAGAAACAAGCAGAGTAACTCCCACCCAAACTCTAGAAAGAGGAGTGATGGGATACCTGGGGTGAAACCATGGAACTCTGAGACTGGGAGGTCAGCTGCTCAGATGCTGCAAGAGCCCTGGAACCTGTGAGTAGGCAATGTGCTCAGTACAGAGCAGGTTCTAGCAATGCAACCAGCACCTTGGGCAACTGGTTTTGGCTTCTGGTTCTGGATATTAAAAGCTTTCATTTCCATGGCACTCTTTACCTACACCCAAAAGTTAAGAAAGTGAGCTTTCCATGGAGCCTGGAAAATTCCCCCAACAGACTTGCTACTTGCAGAAGTTGGAAAATGAAAAGAGGTTCTGAGTCTTTGACTTCTTTCTCATAATCTTCTTGTGCCTTAGCACCTCTTTGGTTATGCATTACATCAAAAACACAGTTGGCATATTTCCTCCATTTTATTCCATCAAATTCCCTATGTTTGTGTCACTACCTGTCGTTCATTTTATACTTGCTTCTGTCTTTGTTCTTAATTGCTAGCATGTTGGGCTTATGCCCAAATCCATGACTTGTTTCTTGGATTTCCACCAAGTGTCATAGGATTCATTCTTGGACACTGTCTGTCTTAGTCACTGTTCTTCTGCTGTGAAGAGACACCATGATCAAGGCAACTCTTTACTGGTGAAATTATTAAGGCCACTCCATGTAGTTAAAAGGGAGGTTTATTTTGTGGGGTAACTTACAAGTGAAGGGATAGGCTACAGGGTCTGGGAAAGGTGTGTCACAGTCCAGCAGTTTTCTCTGGAGAACTCTGCTTGATCTACCTACAGCATCCAGGGTCCAGGAACCAAGAGAGCCAGGGCATCCGGATCTAGGGTCTTCAGGGTCCTCTCTCGGCCCCGCCTTGTAGGCATGACAGTTACTGAAGCCTCACTGGGAGTTGGGACTTCCAGATCAAAGCTGGAAAGACTACCCACTACATCTCCCCCTTTTGTCTAAATAAGAAGGTTCTAACCTAATACAAGACTGTATACAAAGGAATGGTTATCAAATATTGCCCAAGGGTAATGAGGGATAATGACCTAGATAAGATGGAACTACAACCAATAGGAACAATATCAAGCAAAAAACACATACTAAAATCCAGAGAAGTCTAGAGTGTAGGTAAATGGCATGCTACAAAGATCATTCCAGATCAAAGCTGGAATGGCTACCCACTACAACTCCTATGAGAGAAAGCATTTAATTGGGGGCTTGCTTACAGTTTCAGGGTTCATCTTTCATAGTTCTTTGTCATCTTGGCAAGGAGAATGGCAGCACACATGGCACTGGAGCAGTAGTTGAGAGTGACAGCCTCATCCTCAGGCCAAGAGAGAGTAATACTGGGCCTGGCTTGGGCTTTGAAATTCCAAAGTCCACCTCCAGTGATGCACTTTATTCAACAAGACCACAACTCCTAATCCTTTAAATTCTTTCACAGTGCTACTCCTTGGTGACTAAGTATTCAAATATATGAGCTCCAAGGGGCAGCATTCTTATCCAAACCACCACACTATTTCAAAGTTTTCAGTTTTATGAGAACTAGATAGAGCATGATGATTATTTAAACTGTAACCATATTCTAGGATGAGA